AGCTGAGGCTTTTTTCGAAAAAAGTGGCAAAGAAAGACCCCCCTTCCACGTCCCCCTTTTTCTGCGGCGCGCCCGCGAGCTCAAGTGTGGAGGTGAAGCTTGGTTATGGAAAGCTCGTGCAAAGGGCAACAAGGATTTGTGGGGAAGTCTCATGTCGGCCAGCACTGCCATGCTTTCGTTCAAATAAATTCGGGCAGTTTTGGCAGCTTGCCACCTTCCAGCTACCATTAACTTATCGAACGAACCATGCTTGGTGAACCACCAAGTAGCCCCCCCTCGACGCAACGAGTAGGGTCGAAACTCAAAAAGGGTGAGCTGCAGTGCTTGCAAACACTCCGAAAACAGCCTACGCCAGGCTGATGCCGAAGAAACGAAAAGGGCTTGCGGTGTGGTACTATTCTTCCAAGCCCATAAACACTGAAGTGCGACAGCAACTGTCAGGGTGACCGATTCAGACGCACCAACGCGTTTCCCACTCTTAGTGAGGCCAAGGCTAAGTACAGCGGGTGCAGAAGCCTTCTTCATAAAAACGTGAGAGTTTCTCAAGGTCGTCAGTTCCCCGGTGCGCAGCATCCCGTAAAATCCCACCAGGAGCGAGACACCGAATCCGAAATGGCCGTGAAAAAAGCTCCAGCCGACCATCGCTTCAAGCGCGGCCTCTGTGAGTGGTGGCGCCCTATTCGGGACTTCATTGACATTCCATGTCTTTAAAAGTCTCCAGGTCAGCTGCAGCTGTCCTTTCAGCTTCGGGTCCGTGTCTTGCAGGCCAGCTACCGTATCGGCCGCTAGCCCGCGGCCTTCTCCCTCGGCCCACAGATGTTCAATGTATTCCGCCAGGAGGCTGTCAAACTGCTCCCGCCTGCGGGGGATCTCAAGGGAGTTGTCCCGAAGGAAGTCATAAAACTTTGTACGGGCCGCGACATATCTATTGCTAGTCTTGGTTGAAACGGTGAGACTGCGAAGTGTGCCTAGCTCTTTTCTCTGTGCTTGCCTTTGCTGTTTTGTCTGACCTTCAAAAACCTTCTTCCCTACTTTCCCCATCGTCGGCGAACAGGCCGCCGGCTAGGCCGGTCGGCCGGGTTCTGGGAAGTATGTATGTATCCCCAAAGGGGATGAAGGTCAGCCGCCAACAGCAAAGCATTGAGTCTCATCAAAATTGGTCTCAACTTGCGACTCGAGCTTCTGCCCCGAGTCAGAGCGTGTAGGCACACCAAACTGTCTGTAAGGTGTAGGAAGCGCACTCCCAGTTTCTTGCATCTGCTCACCTTCCACTTTATGCTAGTATAGATTGCTCGCATCTCCAGGAGGTTTATGTGCTCTCCCGTCATCTTCCATCGCCACCCAGAAATTTCTCGCCAATGCCATAGGCGGCCCGGAATACTTGCACGAAGTCTGAAATACCTCGGGGCGGGGTCGCTTGCCGCATGCACCAAAAGGTCCTCACCCTTGTTGGAGGCGAGTCCTAGACACTTTTTCACCAGGCGTTCTTCTGAACCAATCTCTGCAGACCCCAACCGGCCCTGATGCGGAGGCCGGAGCAACATTGAAGGGAACTCCCGTGCCTTCCCAGGAGTGGTTGCATCGACTATGTCCTGCAGTGTCATCTTGGGCCCAATGCCGAGGGGTTGGGTGAGCTGCTCAATCAACCATGCTACCACGCCAACGTGCCAGCTATTTCCAATCAACGACATGCGAGCGTCCTCATAATCGGGACCTTGCTGTTCAGCCTTCACCACGCAATGTTTTGTGTAGTTGATGGGAAACCCCATGCATGCTTCCCTTTCCTGTGCCGAGGGCCTCCGCCACTCACCGCTTTTACTCCAGAGGCCGTGAGTGTCTCTGTATTGGTAAGGCGGAAACCTGTAGTAGTCATCATACCACCGCTGTAGCTCGTGGCTAGCGCATTGCTCTACTCCCGCTGGTCTCCGCCCAGGAGTGTTTCGTGGCCTCGAGGTGGTAAAGGTGGGTAAATGACAACCATCTTGCACGCTCCAACCCGGCAGTAGAAGGGCCTTGGTCTCCACCTGAGCCTCCAAGCAAAACGTGTCGTAGGCCTCCCAGCCCTGTCCGTCTCCCTGCTGCCAGGAGACCCCGGGGCCGCTCGAGCACTCCCACGTAGTCCAGTACAGTCTTGGCCGGGCGCATAGCGACATGCTTTTGGCGTCTATCTTGTGGGGGGTTCTCTGGAACGCCTCACTCATGGTTGCTCTGTCCCCTCTGGACATGGACGCCACGTTCTCAATCATCTCATGGACTTGGGCCCAATAAAACTCCCGCCTGAACAATGAAGTGATTCTGGGGACTTCCTGGAACAAGCAGCTACGCTCATCCCTGAGGGCGCCGAGGCGGCCGGCATTTAGCCCGCTCACACCTTGACATGGTGGCCCCGCTCCGACAATGATCAGTCCAACGTTGCTATACTTTAGGGCCAGGGCCTTTACTTGCTCCTCCCCAAATTCACAAACGTCCTCAAAGAACTCCGTGTCTGGGAAGAAGCTCTCCACCACACGTCTACACTTGCCGTCCTTCTCGATGCTCACGTGACCCGCCATTGGGAGCCCCAGGACATCACACGCTACCCGGAGCGCAGCTATCCCGTCAAATAACCCCACAGACAACACTTGTACCAAATCATGCTCCTCGGGAAGGTCTCCCCGACCTGGGCAACAAACAGCACTCATGCCATAACTCGTCAATCCCTTTGAGGCGCAGAGACCACCTCCTAGGGTTGAAGCGTCTGAGCAGGTGACCTCACCATCCACAGGTGAGCGGAACTCCATCTGGGCTAAAGGGGTCAACAGGATGAAACGAGCAATTTCAACCCTGACCTGGTACGGGAGCCCCAGACGCACGACCGGCGCCTCACCTTCAAACCGCTTCATGTGCTCGAAGACCGCGTTCAAGCTTCCCAGCAACTGTCGACGAAACATAGCCACGTAAACAAAGCCCCCGCATACCACCTGAAGTTCACGCAGTGTGGATTGCCCCCTCACCAGGAGCTCGAACCCTAATTTGCAATACTGGATGACTTTCTGTGGCTTGGGCATAGCATAGCCTGCCTCCCCATCCAGGAGGGCTCCTTGCAGCTCTCCCAGGGTGACTCTCTCTGCTGCCTTCTTGGGGTGCCTAGGCAAGCCCTGTTCAAGGTACATGTCACGAAGAACTTCCACCTGAGGCTTCACTGTACCCTTGATCTGTCCCGCTAAACTAGCATCTACCTTCTCCAGAGCGTCGAAGTTGTCCAAATAAACCCGGTACAGGTCAGCCGAACAACTCATGGCCCGGTCCTTCCGGAGCTCGCCTTCGGCACCCACTGGAGGGTTTCCTGCCAAAGCCGCCCATCGGACGACGTTCCGGTGGATGTGCTGGGCGATACTGACCGAGTTCAAAAACCCCATGGGGACACCAACACGCAGGGTTGCCCTTGGAGCTCCTTTGGGACCAGGTCCCCCGGTACTGCTTTGTTGAACCCCATGTATCTCCTCCATGATGTAGGGATCTCAAATAGATAGAAGAAACACTTGATATCCTCTGACGATAGGAGGGCGACTTCCCCCGACCCCAGGAGAAACCCGCTCAAGCCCGTGACCGCAGGGAGAGTCCCCACGTCTCCCTCAAGCGATTTGCATATTTGATTGACTGGCACCAGGTTCATGATCAGACGCTGAGTCTCAATGCCTGACTTGAACTCCCCCTTGCCCACAGCAAACATGCCGTTGAGCAAGGGTGCCCCACCTATATGGTGAAGTTGAGACACAGGCCAAACTTCACACACCTTCTTTTCAATCAACCCGGTGCAAACGTTGTGCCACTCCCCTTCACTGATCATAACCCGTGGTGGTTTGACCCTCACCTGTGCGTCTACTGGCATCAAATAACGCTCAAAATCATCAACGTAACCCTTCGTGCCCAAAGTGCAAAAGTCCGTGAGTGGCAAGCTCCCAACACCTTCCGGAAGTGATTCATTCACGGCTGCCCAACTCACACTCTGGGCGAGTTTCACTTCTTCCCCACAATAATCAACCTTGCGTCTCGAGAAAAACTCACTAAACGACAGCGAACTTTCCGGAACCTCCCACATGCGATTGCGAACGATGAGAGCCGCTAATCTTTTTTCCGCAAGCGAACGGATGCTCGTCTCGGATGCCATGGATGACGATGCAACTCCATCTGGCTCTGCCGTAAGGGAGCCCTCATATCCAGCCAAATGATTGAGAGCTGCCATCGTGCCACAAACCAGGTCGTCAAACTTGGGCAGGTGGGGGAAGCCCAACCTTGATCCCCAGCCCTCCGTTCGAATCCGAAGAGGGAACGGCGGACAATGAGGCCCAGGGTCGAACTCCGTGGTGGAGCGTCGTGATCGTGAAAGTCCGTCTTTCCTCAACACCTCAACCGCCCAGTTGAAAATGGCTGCAATAGAAGAGTTGCTCCGATCGTGACGTTCGCCAGGGTCGGCCTCTTCTTGTGTCAATACGGCATCCTGCTGTGGAGAAATGCTTGCTGTACGGCACAAAGGCTCACCATCTTGCAGCGCTGCCGCCATACCAGATCTATCGAATTCAGGACCTGGTCCAGCCCTCTCACGACTGAAGCCGGTCCCTGCCATGCACTCGTCCTGTTCATACTCCCCAGGAGCTTCTTCCAGGGTGACCCCATGGCCCCCCCGTGAGCTCCCGGTCAACTCATAGTTCACGCCTTCTTCTTGCCCTCGCCCTTCTCCTTCTTGGATTTGTCCTGGTCGTAGGGCTTGCTCTCGCCTTTTCCTCCTTTCCATTTCCCTTTCTCTCCTTTTTCTTTCCCCTTGGGGCGATCCTCCCAAGGTCTGTTTGTCGACTTCTGCAATACCTTCGCCTCGTGGTTCGCCGCCTGGCCCGCCATCTGTACCTCCGTTGACGTCGCCAGCCCCCCGCGATCCAGGGGTAGCAACTCTAGCTGTCGGAGGAGGTCCGGCCTCATAGATTTGCTCAGCCCTTCCAAACTCTTCAGCCGCTGGGTCATGACGTCCATTGCACTGGCTACTCGACCCTCCAAGAGGAGATCGAGGACGGCGGACCAATGCAAAGCTTCTCGTGCCACTGGGGGCGCCATGCTTGCAATAAGGTGTTGCCGACAATATTGGCTGACCATTGGCCGAAGACTCTGACTCTCGGCCTCGTGCAGGCCCGCACCGAGTTGTAGGAGCATAACTCTTTGTGCTTCGAGTATCATCGTCGAGGTGAGAACACCTGGAAACCGGCGCCAAATCCTCTGGGGCGCCGAGACCGGCGCGAACAGCTCCTCGACTGGTCCCTCCTCCGAGGTCATGCTGCCGCTCGAAGAGCTGCTGGAGCTGCTGCCTGATGAGCTCTTCTTCGTCCTGGCCTTTCGCCCTAGGCGTTTGGCACGTCTTCGGAGTCTGCGACGTACGTCCTCTCTGGGATCGAGGCCGGTCGTGGCAAACAGGGCTTCGAGACTTTTGACCGGGGTCATACGTTCTTTTGCCTTCTTCTTCTTCTTCTTCTTTTTCTTCTTGCTGGACTCGTCCTTCGCCTCTTTGGGTGGCTCCCGAGCTGCCTCCTCCGCAGCTACCCCAGGAGCCCCCGCCCCGATCCCAACTCCCTTGCCTCGCTCTGCGGCCTCCCTCCGCAAGACAGCCATCTCGTCCCTCTCGGCCTCTCTGACGCTCACCTCTGCATTGCGGCTCCAAGCATAGTCCTCGTACTGGCAGCGTTTGAGCCTGGTTGCATGGATCAGGCCCTCTTTCCATGTAAGATGACTGCAGGGATCGTCGCAAAGGTGAATCTGGAGCAGCTTGGTGGCCTTCCCGGACAACAATTTCAACAGCTCCTCCGATGTCGTCCCATGGGCTTTCACTGTCAACATCGTCCCGTCGTCCCCGACCTCCAGGGATTTCATCTCGCCAATAACTTCGGCGTGATTGTCCCAATACAGCCCCTGTACATAGATTGCTGGCCAGGAGCTCAGCTCCCGCACATTCACTTCGGACGCCTTCTCCCAGTCGTCCTCGTCCGGAATCACGGCTGCTGGTCGTCTGCTCACCCTGACCCTCTTCGGGGCCACGGCAGGTCTTCTCAAGGGGCGTTTCGGCGCCATGTAGGATCACGGCGCTTGTTGGCGTAGAAGTCGATGTTCCTCCAGGTCTTCTTGAGTCCCCGATTCTTTTTCTTCGGCTTGGACTTCGTTCCTTTCTTGCCCTTGAAGCCCTTTCCTTTCCCCTTGGCCTTTCCTTTCTTGGCAGGGGACTCCGACTCCGGGAGCTCCAGCTCAGGGGCTTCTTCCTCAGGGAGCTCAACTGCCTCCTCGGACTCCTCCTCAGCGGGGAGAGTATGGGGTGTGTCCTCCTTGCGGGGCTCCTCCTCTGCGACCTCCAATGAAGTGCCTTCGAACCTTGCAAGGCTGGATCGTGGCTCTCCACCCGGGGAGCTCTTGTCCTCCGGGGTGTGGACGCTTGGTGGGCTCCTGGACGGGGTTCTCGGCCTCTTCGAACTGGGGGCTGCTTTTGCGTGGAGCTCGTGGCGACTGGGTGTACGGGAGGCTTCACGGCGTCTCCGCCGAGAACTTTCTCGCCTCCTCCGTCCTCTAGAGCTGTCTCGCCGATCGTATCCTCCACGCCTCTGCCGGGGTAGAGGTGGCCTCTTCTTCCGCTTGGACTCGGTCTCCTCGTTCTCGTCGGCTTCAACCTCCGGCCGTGAGCTGGCCGAAGTAGCCCCCTCACCGTCTCCCTCTCCAGGAGCACGGGTGGTTGGCCTCACAGGAAGGGCCTTCTTCTCTCCCACGACCTCCTCTGGGGACTCGTCCTCCTTTTCCACCTTCACTCCCGCCTGCCCAGGAGCTTCTTCTGCTTGCTTGGGATCACCTCGTCCTTCACTGTCTCGTGCCGGCTCTCCCGCCGGTGGGGGCGATGTTGGGCCTTCAGGCCGCACCGCCCCAGATAGCCCTGCCCCTTCGCACACACGGGCAGGTGGCCCCCGAACCTCCAGGGCGATCTCAAGCAACTGTGTATATAGCCCTTCGATGTATGGCCTCACGCGATCTCGAAGAGCTTGGGTCGAATTGGCTCCAAATACCAATCCAGCGACCTTCCTGAAAGTGCGACAAAGGGGGCACTCGCAGGAAGCCGGTGGATGCGGCCCCCCCTCGCCAGGGGGGCCGTCTGGCATAGCTGAAGCCAAAACACACTGCGGATGAAAGAGTTTCAGGTCCGTTTCGTTTTTACATCCGCGTACGTGACCCATTGTAATATGCATATATGAAACATAACGAAACTGATACTGTACGTTTTGGACATTTTGGACTTCCGTGGCTAGTGGTTGAGTGGTTCACTTTCGTTCAAAGATGGGGGCTAAAATGTTTCCGTGTATACCCTCAACATCCCTTAAACCGCTCACCATATATTGAGCGACAGAAGAGCCTTGCACACAAATTGGTCCCTGGTGCATTCTTTCTACCGGGAAGCTTTGTTTCTAGATGTTTCTAGTAAGAGCTTCGAAGATAAATCACGATTAACAATGTGATTAAACAAAAAGAAACACGACATTGCCTGATGGATGCTGCGTCCTGATCATTGGCCTCCTCTTCACTGGGTATCTGCTCCTCATCATCTTCTGCCGTCGCTTGGGCCTGAGAGAGGCTTCTGAATCCAGGGACTTCATGGCCTTCGGTGCTTCTCTGGGCTCGGGACCTCGGGACCCACAGATTTGGCCAATCGACACTTCTATCGATTCGGATCGATCGATGGAACGAACCAAGTGACTCGGTCGACCACCGACGTCTCACGTCGACGACGGCGGACGCGCGAGGAACGGTCGACTCGACAGACCCGGCCTTCTTCATGGCCTGTTCCACCCCCACGGCGGCCCGATCCTCGGCACATGCGAAGACTCGTTGAAAGGAACGAGTTGAAAGGAACGACGGGTGGACAGAACTTGGGGTTCCTGACATGCCGAAGATCTTTTTCTGTTGACATGTGGGTTGGCACACTTCATTTTGGAATGTTGGTGCTCGCTTGTCTTTATCCATAACATACAAAAAAATCAAATGTATGCTTAAAACATCGAACATGTTCGACATAAGAACTGGACTCTTTGAACATTTGCAAGAGTTTGCTCAACAAAATTAACACATATCATCCCAATCTATTGAAACAATATATATATATTTATTTATAATATATTGTATTATTGAATGAACAAGAGTAACTATGATGAATCAATATAACGATATGCAACAACTTCTACACTCCATACAAACACTATGTTTGGTTTGTTGATTGTGTTCATGAAGCAGTGTTGGGTCAAATGCGGTTCTATTTAACGGGTCCAACTTTTGTGGCAGGTGCGGGACGGTCAATTGACATACTGTACTGTTTTAAATCAACAATTTTTGGAGAAGGCTTCCAGGTGTGAGACATGACCACCCACACTTTGTCCCAGGTCTCCCGGGGAAAACGTGTGGTAATGAGGTTGAACTTCAAGAAATGCAACTCTGGCCAGTGGATACTGCAACTAAGGACTTCTTCTTGCCCTGCCTTACTCAACCCAAAAGCTTTTCTCAAACCTTCAGACTGCTGTTGGCCTCACCTGGCCTCACCTGCTCGAAGCCTTTCTTGAAAGAAACATATAGATACCTTGCTTGACCTACCCGGAAGGTCAGGCTACATGGTGGACCAGGGCAGGTTTTGATCCACATCCATATGTCAAATCGCCAAGCCACAACCTGGAGCTGGGCAAAAGCCACCTGGGCAACAAAATGGAGACTGCTGGGGTGGGTCACACAGAAACCAGTATATGTTGACATCCATATTAATGTGGGGGGTCAACCAGTCATGGTCCATACATGGTCCATTCCTGTCCATGTTGGGAGGTTGTGAAGATGCTTCTCGCTGCGTATACAGCTTGGAATCCCGAAAAGGGTGCTGTGGCGACTGCCAGGACTGCCAGGACTGCCTGCTTCTCCGCTTCTTCCACCTGCTCGTCCGCTTCTGCGCACCTGCGACACGGCGGTCCCGTGTGGAACACGTCCGGTGGGACGAAACTCCTGGCCTAATCGAGTCAACAACTACATGATAGATGAACGTATCAAAAGGTCAAATGGGACAATAAGTCTTCGACCTCTTCAGTTGGGTTATTCCTTTCGTTTGGACTTCCTGTTAGTTTTTCCCATGTTTCCATACCCTATCTTCCTATGCACCGTCTTCGGTGGTTCAAATAACTTGATCGAAGAAAAACGGTCGTAGTGCTTGGACTTCCAAGCTCCAAGACGAGTGGTCCAAATCCACTGTGGTCGGAAGAACAGTCCAACAACACCTGGAAGTTCAAAGCCCCCACAACATTTGCCCAAGGAAGACGCATTTTCAAACAATTTATAGGGTTTGCAAGCTGCCAAACCTCACAATGTTTCTCTGTATCACGAGAGCGGGTGGTCTCCAGGCAAAGAAACACAACAAACAGTTCTCGGTACAAGTGACAACATAGAAGCTAACGATATTGTTTGGATGGAACGACTGACACCAAGCCACTCCAAGTCCAGCCAGTGAGACAGTGCAATCACAGCAATCTTCATTTATACCGCCTCATTTACCCGATTTAACTATGAACCTCTAAAGTACCCTAAAGAATTGGTTTTTGTAAGGGCAGGTGCGGCAGGTGAAAACTTATACGAACAGCTGTAGCTACTTGGAAGTACATCGGTACATCGGTTCCACACTCCGACTGGTGCTTTGTGACGTTCCCGTCGTCTCCGTCTCTGCAGCGGTGGCACAGCCGTTCCAGCGCATCCCTCTGAGACTTGATGCTTTCGGTGGCGGCGTCGGCCTTGCTGATCTTCTCCTGAAGGAGCGCACGGACGCGTGCGGCCCCAGGTTTTGTCTTTTTTGGAAAGTCAGGAGAACACACGCTTTCTCCTGGCAGGCAGGGATATCTTGCATCCTTTTCCACCTCTTTTCTTAAACATAAATATACGCCACGCTATCCTTACAGTTGTCCACAAATAAAACCAACAAATCATGATGTCCAACAGGTCTTCAATCTGCGCTGCTGTGCTTCAGTCTTGCACTCTGTGCGCTCTTGGAAAACCTCCCTTCAACCAGCCGTCACCGTCCACCGGTGACCGCCCCACGCGACCAAGGGACGCGCCGCCGGTCCGACCGCCGTGTTCCGAGGACGCGCAGCGAGGGAACTGGGTCCAAGGCACTTGGTCCTTTAGGCCGCGCCATTCCTCCAGACATTCACGGTGGAACACACAGTTGCACGCGACAAAGATCGCACTGCCTGCGGAGAAGTCGGTTCGACAGAAGACAAACGTTGGTAAAAAGGGCACCGGTAGGGTAGTTGGCATGGGTTTAAGTTTGGTGACTGGAAAGAATGAGAGAGCTCTAAAAAGAAACAATCGCCAGTTGTTGGACATAGTCATTGGTTCTGTACGTGCTTCCGTAAAGGAGAGAGTGTTCAGAAGACACAGAGCTACAATCCACCTGCTTGAACCTGGAGCATGAACAACCATGAAATCAACAATCAAAACATACATATTTTGGCCATATGTGACCATGAACATCCACTGGACAACTTATTGGTTGCACTAGTCAGTATAGTCAGTATCTTGGTGGCCCTATGCCGACTGAAGCATGCAAATAAACAAATCTGGTGCATTCCCTATACAAGTCATTGTCATTCACACCATTTCACACCCATCAACTCTGAATCAAAAAAAGTGCAGGCATGCACACCCACAAAACAGGAAACACATACAATACTCCAACTGCTCAGTTCAAGGGAGACAAGCGGAGGACTCGCTCTGAAATACAATTCCGATTTGTTTGGGAAGTTCACCTTCAGAATCTGTGAAACCAATCTAGGAAAATGCCCCTGCATTGCACCGGCCGGGCTGACCGCGTTCCCGTTTTCCCGTGTTGTAACCGTGTTCCTGTTGAAACCGCGAAAAATAACCAGTGCAACAACAGCCCCCGCCCGGCCTGGATCGCAATCCATCATGCAAATGTAGCACTCGCTCACCTGGGTCGCTGCAACGCTCGACCCGTCGACCCCGCTCTGCACTTCCGTGCCGGCACCGCTCGACGGCGCCGCGTCGACTCGGCTCGATGGGTCGACGTGGCATGACGTGGCCTGTGGCCCAAAAGATCGGTGAAACTCAAGACATCTCAAAACAGTTGCGGGAAGATGATCCAAGATGTCCGAAGCCCGAGCGGGTTGATGAACAATACACAAGACCTCTTAAGCAGCTTGTCATATATATATATATATACGCATGTGGCAGTGCATTTAGAGAGCACTGGAGCCAAACACGAACATGCAAACACACATGTTAAAAAGAACAACACAAATGCCATCAAATGCCTCGCTTGGATGCCCTGAACTCTGGCAACTGTGTGCCAGAAATAATGTGCAACACCCTGACATGTGCGGACATCTGTGACTAACATTGTGTGAACATGAGTGAACAAATATAAAAACTTCTGCAGCCAACAATAGTCCTGGCTCCACTGTGCACCGAACTGAGGCAGACGCCGAAACGGGGGCCAAACTGGCGTTGCACGACCAGATCCGACCAGCAATGGGTGATGATGGGTAGGAGCCTGTTGCCTTTCCCCAACAGAAGTGCTCATATTCGACTGACTGCTACTGTTACTATAGTGTTACTGATAATGGGACACACCATAAGTATACTGATATCTGTCCTTGATCTCCTGAGTTGTCTGTTCCACGTCGCAAACCAGTCTTGGCCAAGCGGCTGCCTTGCCAAGGGCATCTTTCACCTGTCCGCCATGTTGGGCTCATAGCAAAAACAGGGCGCGTGTCGCACCACCGGTTCAAAAACATGGAAAACACTTATTTGAAACATCTGACAAAGCCGAAAACAGAACGACAGGCAGTTATTAACACCGTGGAACCTCTGAACAGTCTCGACCAATGGGGTGGTAAAGCCACCATACGGGTCGACTCTATGCAGTCGACTCCGGTGGAAAGCCATGGAAGACGTGACCTGGACGTGACCTGGACGACCTGAATGACCTGGACGTGCCGCGACGATCTCCAATCAACTGAAAGTCGTGGTGGCCCCCGGTTTGAGGCTCCTGAATGGGATTGTTCACATGTTTGTTCCTATACTTACAGCCCTTTTGACATCTTGGTTGGGATGACCTGTTGAAAAAAAGCAGAAGAACATGAAGAACATGGTGGTTTCGGTGCTCCTCCAGCCGAAGACAGCACCTCAAGATCCCGTACAGCACCTCCACATCGGGTGCCTCAGATCCCTACGAAACGGGTAGCCTCTCTCTTCGACGGCTTGGCGTCTCGCGACTCGATGCGGGAGACGAAGTTGAGACGATACCAGGTTTGTTCCACAAGGTGACAACTTCGGATGCACATGCGGGCATGGAGAAGACATGCGGGCATGCGGGGGGGCTGTGAACGATCGCTTCACATGTCTTCTACTATCATGGGAAAAGAGGCCGGGGTTGCCAGAACACAGAAGACAATAGACTTCCGGTTTGGAAATGGAAAACCCTCTGTTTGTATTAGGAAAACGGTCATCCGACGTGCCAAACTTCCACTTCCATGATGATTCGGGGAGTGTTTAACTGCATCAAAAGCCATCTGCCCGGCTAGTCATCCAAAGCCCTTGACCACCCTTGACCCATCTCACCAACTCATTTTGGGAGGTTAAAAAGGAAGATGGTCCTGCACCTCAGCACCGAATCGTCTTCCGTGTCTGAACACAGCATCGGACCCACGCCCTGAAATTCGGACCCATGCCACCGGTTTCATCTCCGGCCTCGGAGAGGAGGGGAGCCAAGCAACCCTCCTCCTGGAGCCCGTACTGCTGTCGGGCCTTTTCGGCCTCGGAGCAAGAAGCCCGTGGACGGCGGCTCCGGAGAAGGTGCAGCAACGGCGGTCCGGGGATTTGAGAATTGGAGATGATTGAAGGCTGCAGTTGGTAGACAAGCATTGAAAAAGGGGTCAAACAATAACAAGTGAGGTGAGATGATGACATATTAGTAAATAGGATGATATGATAGAACACATTGGGCACCTGAACATCTCCTTGGAGTACGGTGCCAACGTGGAACCTTCTCAGCACTAAACATGAATGGATTGAATGGACAAAACACACTGCTCGACACAACAACGGGTACCAGTTTCCTGAATGAAAGTTTCACGCAAGCGATCCAATTTTTGGCGATACGGCATGAGCCTTTGTGTCGACCTGTCTTCACCAGGCCATGTTCCATGTATACCTTGATTGCCACAAGAGTACAACCCTGCGCGCATCTGCGCAGGTTGAACAAAAACATCACGGATCAGCACTGCTCAGCCTGACACCGTCCGACACCGCCGCTTCACTGGTACCCCGACGGCGTCCATCATGGCTTCAGTGGCCACCTGGGTGTTTGGTGCGTCAAGTCCAAAGAGTGCATATGTGTGTGCCATTCAAGTCGCCCCAAATACACATAAATACTCATCTGAAACCTAAAAACCAGCCATTAAGGACCCCACCGACAAACAGCCTCACCACCTATATGAGCTGAGACGTAGTGCCGTAGTAGAAATATATGTCGATATGCTTCAAACAGAACATGATGTGGTGGAGTTTGCGGCTTTGTTTGAGCTGCAGCATCCAGATTTCAAAGAAACCATGACGAAAACACCGGCGTTCCGTCGGGACCTCGGCTCTTCGGCTCTTCTCAACGTCGGATCATTGGTCGGCGTGTCCGTCCGTTTTCAGGTGTGGGGTCGGTCGCGGCAAATCCCCACGCCATGTATGGAAGACTTACTGATCTCTAGACTCTAGAGGATCCTTTCGGTAAACTTGCTCCTGCCGTCCTGAGGCGGACATCAACTGTCTTCGGGACATGTTTTTGCTGCGGTAAATGTTCCCTTGCAGGAATCTAGTGAGACTAAGATGATATATTCTAGAGGCTTTGTGAATATTTGCTTGTGGTTTACATTGAGCATTTCTCACTGGAACGGTCACCTCAATGAGAAAAAGAAAGAATGTCGCCACTTAAGTTTCCACCTCCACCTGCAAATCTGGCTACAGTCGTATCATATGTCTTTGTTATTGAAGGTTTCTTGTGCGGAATGAACACATGCGGAAGAATTCAACAACAATGCCTGGCAAAGGGTTTGAACATATGTTGTAGTCTTTCTTGTGAATTTCATGAATCAAGAAGTGTCAAAACCGGCCTTGGCGGGGGAGGGTGTGAGATCTTGAGATGTGAAACTACACTGGGGTGCAGAAAGTTGCGCTTCTTAACTTGTAAAACAGGACAAACCCTTTCCCCTTAGAATCCTACGTGCAACATGTTTACACCTAAGTTGCGGTCAGATTTACACACCTGAAAGCCTTATAATGTATTATAAATTTAAACGGGTGTGGAAATCTGACCGTGCTGTACCTGCCAGGCAAAATGGACGTGTCAATCCGATCCGCTGTAGACCGCAAGTGCTATGTTGGAACAGAGTAAGAAGCGTAAACTTTAGGGTTCTTGAAGTATGTCCTTGCAGAAGGATGCGTGGTATGCCTGCAATCATGGAAGAGACAACCTGGTCGGTGTTAGGCAATGGTGATGGCTTTTGAAAGGCTGACATTTCCTACCTAGGTCGTCTTTCCCCTAAATCCGCGAATCCTCAGCAAATCGCACTGAGGCAGAATTCTGCCCCAGGTGCTGGTATATGTGGGGATCCGGTCAATGTATGGTCGATCCATGTGGCAACTGGACTCTTCGTTCACCCAGCGGCATCTCCAATCCCGCGGGACTTCTCCACCAAGATCGTTGGTGTGGCATTGGAAGGGTAGCCAGCAGGCACAATCAGCTGCAGCGTCACCCAAACCTGGGTATATACATTAGCTTCAGAAGGGGTTTCATGTGCATAAAAAAAAAGAACGTGAACTCCAGCAGGTGTTTCCCAAATCCTGCAGCACTTGCCCTTTCGCGCAAGAAAAACATATCGAAAAAAATACAATAAAATGTGTTGGTGCTTCCATCTGATGCCAGTGTCTTTTGTAACCATCAACAGTCAGCAAAAACATCTGTCCCGCTTCCTCTGTCTCGCCTTCATAGTTCTTTTGCTACGCCATGTGCCGGGTGGAGCCTTGAAACGCCTTGATTTTGGGGGACCAAGTCTAGGCGAAGGCGACCTGAAATCAAACATGGGTGGGTTGAAAAACAAGGTGTGTTGAGCTTGGAAGTTAACAGCAAACAGGCTGAACAATGATTGCCAGGATCCCTGACTGGTAGCACATCCTCCCCAAAACACTCCTAAAATTCCTTGATTTGTCCAAACAAGAGGATCAACCTCAAGTGCACCCTCAAACAAGAGCTTGAAGGCTGGCTACAACCTTGAAAGCCATGCGGGCCATGCGTCCAGCTGGATGCCTTCCTCAGACATGGGCTCCAGGTCAACTTCCAAACAGCAGATGGGTGGCGTCTCCTCGGGTGAGAAGGTGGTCTTGTGTGTTGACATCTTGACCTTTTTGCGGCCAGAAATCCCATCGACCAAACAACACACGAAGTCTGGTCACACCAGCCATGGGCGGCATTTTCAAGCACTTCTCTTGCGGAAGGTGGTCGGTACTTCTGTGGGCCGGGATGGTCACCGTTCTGGCCCACCAGCCAATTAGATGCTGCCAGAATCTCTGATTGGACCATATTGGACCACTGTTTGGAGTGGCAAATAAGTTGTACATGATTGAGTGGAAATGAAGAACAAGGCATACTCATTCCATCTGCAGTTAGGTGCACTTGGACTAAACTCTGGCATGACCTGATTCTGCATCTTGATTTGCACCTTTGATCTTTAAAAAAGAGGGTGCAGCAAAAAGTTTGCACTGGGAGAAGCTTAGTCTTTCGATTGTGCAGCTTCTTCAAAACGAGCGCACAATTGAAGGCTTCACCACGTTCCCCTTAGAGGGACTTCCTATAGAGATCGGACTCTCCGACCTCAACCATCTGCTGACTCGATGGCTTCGTCGACTCATCCAGCAATGAGGACCAATCAAAGGGCAAGTTCAGGGCCTGCATCAATTCCGATGCATCCTCAGGTCGCAGAACCAAAGCATTCAAATAGGAGGTGTTGCCCCGTGTCGCCTCGATCGTTGCCACACCTGGCAGTGTGGAAGCGATGTGTATTGAACATATTGGGAAACAAATGCGGCTCTTGTTTTAGAATACACGGACGCTATTCCATGACATTCAAACATATTCCATTCAGGTTCCAAACGCACAAGTAAATGCCAGCAAGTGCATCTTCACCCCAGCCTATTCGCTGATACAAAGCTTCATTCGAGTCGAAGAACAAACCACACCAGGAACGTTGGAAGCAAACCTGACGCAACTTTTCCATATTCCAAGACGAAAATTCCGTCAAGTTGGCTGGTGCAAGGAGTTGCTGTGACGAAAGTAGTAGAACAAGAAGCGGAAAGATTTCCCGCTGTGCCACTGTCCACATGAGTTGGAAGTTCATCTTGAACTGAATGAGGATCAGAACGATACCCACAAGGAAAACCACGACCAAGCTGAAGATGTATATCTTGATTGCCACCCTGTAAAGACATCTCTGCCCCAATTCAAGGGTAAACGCAAAGTATGCTCCACTTTGTATAGAAGTGAATTTTTGCTTGCATGCCTCCACGATGAACATACCAATGCAAATAGAGAGGACTATGCCCAACGCCGCCAGCAAAAAGACATAGAACCAAGCATACTGAAAATTGGTGACAATCTGGACCGACATGCAGCTGCTGGTGGCATTGAATTGGCTAAAGCTCACCATTGCACTTCGAAGGAGATTGTTATTCTGATCAATGGTCTGTTGTTCTGTACAGCCAGGCACGCAAGTGCAAGCAGTCTCACTGTTATGAGTCGTTTGTATCAGCGCTCCATAGATTGACAAACTGCTCACGCCAAGAGAAATCAAGGGCCGTAATTCCACCGCGACAAAGTGGATCAAGGCTGCTCCCACCATGACCCGAAATGTTTGAGACGCGTCCCGTCGCGGAATTTTCAACTCTAAAACAGCATGTGGGTGTTTCGATGTGTTTTGTTCGGGTGCATGTATTTTCGCAGTCTTGCATAATATGACGGTATGATCGTTCTTTTTTGACTCCAAGTTAAGCTCAAAACCTTGGAGCCCAATCCTGGAATCACACAGTGGGAAGGGGCTCGTGTTGCAGAACTCAAGAATGCAGTTGAAATTCCATTCTGCAAATTACAAAATACCACCTCATCACAAGGAAACCAAGCAGAGATGATGCCAAGCTGGTGGTCAACATGCGAAGATTCCGCCGCAAACAGACATGCACCACCGCCATCCAAAGACTCTTCGCGGCTCTCCAGCCTTGAAGGTGAAATTTTGTGAAGAACCGAGGTGAAACGAGGTGAGGTGCATCACATGAGGTGAATTTTTCTTGTCAGGACACGAGGTCAATTGAAAACGAGACATGATAAACGCTAGGGCATAGAGTGCAGTGAGCGGGAATTCAATGACAAGATGCGAGATTAAATTATGTGAAAGCAAGAGATTTAAAAACCGGGGACTGTCTATGCTTTTGTGCACGTTAGCGTTTGGCTTTCTTTGCGGTCTCAATAAGCAAGGAAATGCAAATATAATAATAACTATATAAAACAACAAACATGCACCAGCTGCCTTGATAGAACTGTTTGTAGGCATAAGCATATTCCGCATTGTCGAGTCAAGCGCGTTCTCACGCGTTCTTCCGCTCTCCTCATCTTCCGCTTTCTTCCGTTGGACAAGCCTGCGGTCAGGTCGCCCCCCAATCACCCTCACGTTTTGCCGTGAAACCAAAACAACGAGAACAAGAACGACAGCAACAACAACAACAACAACAAGGTACAAACAAAATCTGCAGCCCCGCTACAAGATACCTGGCTCCTTTGTCTCTACAAGGGGGTGGAAACAAAATCTGCAGCCCAGCCCCGTCGTTGTTATTTTGACCCCCCCCGAAAACAACCAGCCAACGTGTACTTTTACCAGTAGTGGTAGTGCTTGTACTAGTGCTAGTACTAGTGGTACTAGTACCAGTAACAGTCGTTGTTGTAGTGGTCGTCGGGGGAGGAGGAGAAGCAGTAGCAGTAGCAGTAGCAGTAGCAGAAGCAGAAGCAGTAGCAGTAGCAGTAGTAGTAGTAGTGGTAGTCCGATCAGCTAAGCCTCTGTAAAACTTCTTCTTAGAACCTCTACCACATCCTAGAGACAAAAGCTACAGCCCCGTTGTTGTTTTTTTGGACCCCCCCCCCCCAAAAAAATTTTTTTCTCTTCCCCCCCCCCTGAAAAAAAAATCTGCAGCCGCGTTTTTTTTTTTTGACCCCCCCCTCCAGAACAACACCCCAAAAAAACTCAAAACACAAGAAACAGACCAACCAAGACTTGAGTACCTCAACGACAAGAAGTCCAGCTACTAACATCTCTCCAAACCCCTTCGACCCTATCCCTAACAGTGTCCCTTAGAAATCCCTGACTTGCAACATGCGACAACTATGTTGGGCAGCTGCTTTTGTCTCTACCAACAACAACAACAACAACACAGCTGAACCCAGTCGAACTTATGGACCCTTTTTGAAAAGTCCCATGACTCCCCATGACCGTTCGATGTCCTGTGCCACCTGGTTCGGGCCCGTCACCGCTCCACGCGACCGGAGCTCCACTGGGATGGATTGGCCACCGGAGCTCCAGACACGAACACCACCAGTGGAGAGAAAAAGAGGCCCCAACTTCAAGTGGAAGTCATGGTGAGTTCGGGATCCTCAGGCCGCTGAGTCCCACAATGTGGGATCCTCAGGTCTAAGACATTCTAAGCCCTATTCGGGACAGGTCACAGATTCCAGCGCATTCCACACAGTGCATACAGTATGATTCAGGAAATTCGCGCTCTTCCACTGGCGCAAAACTCCAACAAACCCATGGCGGACTCTCGGCCGCCATCAAAACGCTCCACCCACTGACCAAAGCCCAGTGACCGAACAGGTTCTTCGCCATAGATGGCCTCAGAAGGTCTCAGATTGAAGGTATTCTTGATTGGTGAGCCCTCCACTTCTGAATTGAATATGTTTGGGGGGTGATGGTTGGCAACCCTCCACTTTGCATTCTTGGAATCCACTTGGGAACCTCCCGACTTCGTTTCACCCGTGCATCGCTGGACACCCTTCAGCCAGAAGGGCGTTTTCAGATGGTGATGCCCCGGTGGAGGGCGTTTCCGTTTTTGGGGCGTTTTCGTTTTTGGGGCGTCACCGAAGAAACAATATCTATTTCATCCCTATGGCTCCAAGTACTTTTCTAAGGAAGTGTTTGGGGTGGATTCAGAGGGACCAATCTGGGTTTTGGGCTTTCGAAAGTCAGCCTCTGCGAAGATTGCATCCTCGAGGATTCAATCTGCAGCTTTCACGTCGGAAAGTGGATCCCAAGCCAACCCCCATCAACCTGATGGACCTCCTAGGCACCTCCCAAGCTCTGCATGCTGCAGTGATTCCACACCGAAACGCCCGCACCACCACCACCGTCATGTCAAACCACATGGACCCACCAGGTCACCAGGTCACCACTTTCTCCAGAATAAGCGAGCCTGCAAAAAGAGTCAAACAAAAAGAACCATACAAAATTACCATACACAGGGTTTTCATTCCTCTTGTTAAGTTGTTAAGCTATACCCAAATCAATCATATACGCAAGAGAACAGGCAACCTCATGCAACCAACCTGCGAAAATCTCAGAGATCCCCCCCTGGATCTGCACCTGTTCTGAACCTGGATCTCTCGCCATGCGGCCCGCAGGATTTCGATCTCCTGGACGAGGATCTCCGGCAGGTCCATGGCGCAGGTCATCCGCGAGCGCGGTGGGTGAGGAGTCGAGTGGTGCGAGATGGTGCGGTGGGTGAGGAGTCGGTGGTTTGGTTGACGGAAGAAAAAAGAGATCAGCTCCTGAAAAGGACAGTAACAAGGTTCGCTATGAGTAACAAGTGCATCGCTTCTAGTAACAAGTGCCTTACTAGTAGTAACAAGAAGAGGAAGGAAGTTGAGGAAGTTGCGGATGGGAGGTGAGAAGGCCGAGGTGAGAAGGGCAGGCGGCTGGGAGGAGTGAGCTCTGGTGGCTCAGCTGGGTGGGTAGTACGGTTGGTGCCTTTGGCCAACGGTTCGGTTGTGTTCCAAGGTCAACAAATTGATTTGGACCTCATGTCCTGAGTTTCGATTGACCAAGCAAGCTCTAGTGCGAGGTCTGTTGGTCTTCCTCATGATTCAAGCCAATGACTTGAAGAAGTGTCCTTTCCATCTTGCCAAACCCAGATTTGTTTTAAAAAAAAGCAAAACTGCTTTGGCTCAAGCGGCTTCGGCGGGAGTTGAACTTACAAAATCACACGCCATGGATCAACTCATGGACGGATAGTAACATGAGCCCATGTGCGTCCCTGCCCCCAAAATGCAGACTATAGAAGAAAGAAATGAAGCAAAGCCTGCTATTTTCCCTGGGAACCAAATGTCGAAGTTGCATGACTGACTCCATACCTAATTCATGACCCAGCCATATTTTCGCAACTTGGCCGGTTCTTAGTCACAAGCACCTGGAAAGGAACACTCCTCCGCTGCAGAAATGGCGGCAGCTATATATACATATATATATGTATAACGAAAGGAAGCCATACCATCCATCATCCAATCCTTTGTGACACATTGTCCATGGGAAATTTGGGGGAAACCTGCAAAACCCTTGATCCAGACATGAGAAAAATCTGCGCAAGCGGTCCAAAAGAAGCACCGAGGTGGGCGCCTGAGTGGGAATCCAGGTTCTTCATGGTCACCACCAAAGGCAATGAACTCTGCACCACCTGCGGCCCCCGCTCAAAAGGACTTAATCAACATCATGGCAAAAAGGATGACGACATGCTGCAACTGCAAATTATAGAAACGGATGATGGATGATGGACATGCTAAGTATTGAAACGGTGATGATGACATATCATCACTCATCACTAGCAAGGGGCAACTCACTGGGCAACCCCTATGGCCTATGGCATCCAACTCTCAAAACCCGTAAACCACCAGCTGAGTCAGCTGAGTCTGCACTGCTACGACTCATCCTGAAAGTCAAAACCCAAAGGTGTCAGGCCGAAAATGATGATTGATATGATTTGATATGTTCAGCGGCATGGGTTGCTTATGACGCATGTCCCCCTTGCTTTGCTCTTTCGCATCCTTTGAGACAACCCCCAAGTGTCTTTGAAGACCCACTGGCCACCACAACGTGGCCACACAACAACAGTGACGTGCCTCTTCCGGAGGCACAGCATCCCCTCGCTCCATTGCCAGGAAGATGTTCCTGGTGGCCGGACTGCCCGCTGTCCGTTTAGACACCTGCAATCCACCACCATCAAGCATCTGACGGTAGATGGGGCATACATGCTGTACCAGGTCAGCCAGGCCAATCCCCCTTTTAGAAACGATTGAATACATGTCATGCATGCATGTCGTGAATAGCCCTGGTCAAAAGACATGTGCGGCATTGTACTCTCTTTTGCCAACTCACACTTCGCCACAGTCACACTGCACCTGGCATATATCATATCTACCCCGAGTTCGGCAGTCATTGGGCTTCGGCCAATCGACGGCTGAGCAGCTGTGGCACCGGCGCGCGGAGCGGCGCGCTTTCGGCCGGTCGCGGCCCGGAGCGGCTCCGATTTTCCGGTCGACCAGGTCAGTCAACCTGTGAGGATCGTGAGGATGAGGTCGGCGACCTGGGAGGTGACCACGTGTTGATCATGTTACTACTCAAAGATGATAAGGGTCATGTGTGTGTGTGATTTAATGTTATTTATCTAATCTTCAACTTCTTGTTGACACTCTGGTTCCAGACTTGTCTTGGCACTCCAATTTGTGGATCCGATGATCTACAGAAGGCCGACTCTGTCCAGTTTTTCCAGGAATCCCACAACAAAACTGCATCTGTTCAAGAATTTGAGCACTTTAGCTTCTTTATACCTGTAAATAGCGGCACCCGAAAACCTACGAAAGATCGAAGGAAGCGGAATGCGCACACTATTTGCTACCGTTGGAGCCAAATGCTCAAGGCCTGTCCGGCCGCCGTGAAACACATCCAAAGGCCAAACATGCTCATTCACATGCCTTCTATTTTATGTGGCCTTTGGATCCGCACAAGTGAAAAAGGATACCAGTCTATGGCATCGATCTTCCATCTTCGCCTGGAGGTTTGCCATCTTCTTCAGGTCGGCTTTCTCCTCAAGGATCCTCCACTCACGCTTGCCATCAGTCCTCTGGTAGCAGGCCACCGAAGTTCGAAGTCCAAACTTGTTGACATCAAATCTCGGAGCTGGGCTTCTGAAACTCATCGCTCCATGGGCCACGTGGATGGGAGTTCCATCTCTAAAGTGCCACCCATTCTTCTCTGCCACCATGAGAACATGCTCCATCAAGGACTTGTCTCTGTCCTGAACTGCCCGTCCGGGCATCTCAACCACAGCCACCGCTGTCTTCACAGCCTTCTTGGTCTGTTTGGTGAAACTCTCGTTGTACTCGATTGACCACTCTCCCTTCTGCAAAGTCTCTCGCAGCGCTGAGTTGTCCATCAGCTTCGTGCCAGCATCCACAAAGAGGTTTGTGGTGCTTGTCCACCTGTAGCCAGTACATGGCCTTCGAAGTTGTTGACGAAGAGCTGCAAGGCTGAAAGCAAGGCTTTTCTGCGAGCCAAACCCAGTGTCTTGTGTAAGACGATCATAGGTATCTTTCGCATCGGTGACTCCGATGAGGCTCACAGCGCAGACATTGAGATGTCCTGTTCGACTTGCGATGTCGATTTTGCGCAGCTCTGCTATGAAGCCGCGACACAGTTCTCCTGCGTCTAGACCTTCTTCAGCGCCAAGCGTTTCTGCCGCGTAGGAACTGCGACACACTCTCTGAAGTCGGTGACTCCTGAAGTCGAGCAAGTTGAAGCTGCCAGGCTTTCCCAACATCATCTGCTCGTCTGCCAGCAACACTGCGTAGCAGGACTGGGAGTGCACCTTCTCGGTCGGCATGGCGTCCGTGCAACCATTGGCGGTCACATTGCCGAGTGCAGCATCGGTCACAACCATGATGCCACCATGGGTGTAGCTGACCGGCTTGAACTGCAAGGTGAAGTCCTTGGTCCTCTTGGCCTCCTCGACCACCTTGTTCACTCGAAGCACTGTGCCAACTGTCGGTCGCTCTGACTGAAGACTGCTTACAGAGAAAGAGAGGTCGAATCTCAGCTGTGCAACAAGCCACTGCAAGGCTCCTAAAACACCTTTGAGCTTCCTCACTTCTGCGGCATTCAGCAAGCTTGCCACATCTTTGCGCCTTTGTCGAGGCATCTGCATTCCAGTGAGGTTCTCGTGGTACCTTACCATGGTCAAAGTGACTCTTCCGTCAGGTTCACGAGTGAAGGTTTTGCCACACCAGCTGAATGGCGGAGCATCCATGGATCCAAAACCGATCCTTTCTCCCAACCGGCTCAGCGAAGCTTCTGCCTCCTTGTCGCCACTCATGAGCAAGCCGTCGACATGAGCTGCCAAGATGCCTGTCAAAGCACCTGTTGTGTCAAACCTCAGCCACAATGCCAAGTCCAAGCTCGAGCGAACCCAGCCATCCTCACCAAGCTCTCGAGCCAGCCGCAAGTACCACTCTCTTGGGGCATCAGCTAGGCCAAAAATGCCTTTGAGAACTTTGGCAACACAACCAGTCGGAATCCCAATCGTCGGACCTGTCTTGGGGTTGGTCCCACGGATGTACAGCTGTCTCTGCACATAGGGATCTCCTTTGAGGAAAGCTGCTCTGACATCAGCGCTCAACAAACACCAGTCAGGGTTCGAGGCACAAACACAACACACCACATGCTGCGCTATTCTTGAAGCTGTCGGTGAGTCAGTTCGAAGTTCACCATTCAGGTTGGCAAGATCACGAAATCCTGGCACGATGATTCGTGCATTGGCCTTCAAAGGAAGCGGGCACTCTGGAGAGCGAAGCTTGGAGTTCTTGTCCACCAAGATGAAGCGGGGGTTCATGATCCGCTCAAGCTCACCTTTCATCTCCAGCTCTTGTTCCACTGCTCTGGACTCCTCAGGGCTCAAGACAGTCACAGCCTCATTCTCCAGCCACTTGTTCCACTGGTCAGCCGCTGCAACGCGGAAGGCCTGTCTTGTGTCTTCGTCCATCTCTGACCATTTGAGTTCACGTCCGTGAGCAGCAGTAGTCAAAGCCTCCTTGGTGTCACTGTTGGAACCACTAGGCCATGTCATCTGAAGCTTCTTGACGATCTCAACCTGTCGCGCGGTCGGGCGAGACCATCTTCCATCCCAACTGCCATGATCATCTTCTCCATGATGTCCGTTCTCTATGTCCTCCTGGGCTTTGTTGACTGCCTCAAGAAGTGGATGTCTCAGCTCAGCTGAGAGGACATCGATCGCTTTGCCACCAAGTCGAAGAGGTTCCATGATCCTCCTCCGAACGGCCTGTCTGTCGTCCGTTGGCTCGGACAGTGCTCTTCTCACAGCACCTTGCGCTTGCTCCAGCCGCCGTCCATATTCTGCAGGCGTCTCTCCTGCAGGGACTCCAGGTTGTAGTTCAGCTGCAGCTGCACCACCATCCGCGACTGGAAGAACTTGTGCATGATGAAGTCCATCATCCGCTGCCTGTTGAGGTAGAAGATGTTGTAGGTCATCACCAGCTGCTCCTTGGTCGGAAGTCGGATCTCCTCCAAGAAGTCCAGGTCGTTGACCATCAGGCTCTGGTGAAGCGTCCTCACCAACCGTAGGCAAAGGTACACCAGCCTGTTCTGTTGACTGTCTCCTTGATGCCAATCTCGAAGGAAGCGATGAAAAGCTCGAACAAGGGGCACTTTGCACCAAAGCAGGCATCATCGCTGGGTAAGGGAAAGGATAAACCACCGCAGGCGTAGGTGTCTGCTCAAGAAGCTCAGGCTGAACTTCTGGAGGCTCCTCCGGCGGCTCTGTTGGCTCATAGCTCTCCTCACCAATTCCAAGTCCTTCTTGTTGGTCATCAGGGCGTTTGTCATCCACAGCGTTGATGACATCCTCAACTATTGCATCCCAATCTGTGGCAACGAGTCTTTCCAAAGCACTTGCATGACGAAGGTGTTCCATGGCAACCTTGGTCACATTGCCACAGTAGGCAACATACCCAGCATTGGGCATCTCTTTGCCTTCCAAAGACAAAAGAACTCCAGGACCGTGCCACTTCTTCAACTCCAGCCGTCTTCTCTGCACGATCTTCATCTTCTTGCTTGTGGGCTTCTGCTCGCGGTAGAAGTAGACCACGTCTCCAACAGAAAACTGGTTCCAATCCACCTGGTTGCGAGCACGTGCAACTGAAGCGCTCATCAAAGCTCGGCTGTAGTGAAGTCGTACCATGGCCAGCTTAGCCACTTCTCTCATCGCCACCAAGCGTGAGAACGAGGGGGTCTCCAAGGCCATGCTGTGAGCAGCAAGTCGGGTTCGAAGGTCAGAAGGACCAGCTTCTCCAACAAGTCGAGGTTGTCGTCCAAGAACCATCTGACTCGGAGAGAACCCTGTGCCATCCACGTCGTTGTTGACGGCCTCCAGAGATGAAGCCAACGCGGTCCGCATGTCATCCATGCCAGCAGCCACCGCCTCGTGGATTGTGGCCCGGAGAACTGCCTTCAGTGAGCCTCCGGCTCTCTCTGCTATGCCGTTTTGCCATGGCGCGCCCACCGGCACATGGTGCAAAACCACGTCGTGCATGTCCATGGTGTGCTGAACCACTGCCGCCGTAAACTCTCTGCCAAGATCAGTGGTGATCTGTGCGGGGATGCCGAGGGTGTTGAACCAGCACTCCTGGAAGAACTTGATGACTTCCAGCCCGCTCTTCTCTTCCAGCACCTTGGCAACTTGGTACCTGGAAGCGGCATCAACGGCGTGAGCAATCCAGTAAGTCTCACCATGGCTATCATGGACGGAGATCAGGTCGGCATAGAGGTGGTCGTTGAAGTTCCTGACTCGAGGCAAGCTAGCTGGCCTTCTCGTGCCAGGCCGCTTGGTCTCATGACAGATCTCGCACTTATGCTCCTTTGCAGCTTTGATCAACATCGGATCTGCTCCTGTGATCAGCAAAGCTCGAGCCAGGCGAAGTGGGGGTCGATGGCCTGTCACCTCATGAAGATGCTTTGCCATCTTGCGATCACCTGCTGTGGGCTTGTCATCACCAGACACCACCACATCGTCATCCTCATCTTCCTGCTCGGCCGGGTTGTCCAGCATGAAGTGGTCCCCATTGCCATCATGGTCGTCTCCATCATGGCCATCCGGCTCATCTGAAGGTCCGGGGGGTCCTCCATCATCTTCACCACCATCATCTCCACCGCCTGTGTTCTCGTCGTCCAACTCCTCAATGACATTGATCTCAAGCATTGACCATTCTCGCTCGATGCCTTCAAGCAAAGTCTCAGCGAGAAGGGGTGGATAGTGACCTGCAAGGCGTGTCACCTTGTTACCACCAATCACTGCTTCATGATGATGTCGTCGGTCGCACCTGAACCCATCCAAAGCTGCTGCAACCTCCTTCGAAGACGTGAGGAAGGTGGTCGGCTTGTAGTGAAGTCCTCCTCCAGCTCCTCGCAACCCGAAAGCACATTGGTCGACTCGGACGTGGTAGAGGTCCAGGTCCTTCGCATTCTCAACCAGCTTGCGAAGCTTGCCAACCAATCTCCAGGCCGCTGAAGTCGCCGGGTTCTCCAGGATGAAGTGGTTCCCGGAGAGGACCTGTTCCACAGCCTTCATCGCAGCATACTCCACCAAGATCTTCTCATACTTCCTTCTCTTGGCAAGTCGGGCTATCTTCACTGGGTCACCTCTTGTCGTCATGTTGATGAGGTTGGACCAGACACTGCATGGAAAAGCGATCATCAGGCAGAAAGGTCTGTTGTTCCTGATGTCCATGTTTGCCCTTCTGCGATCACTGACCTTCAGCAAGTCGTAGCCAGTCTTCAGGGTGATAGACTGCATGATCGCATGACCTTTCCGAATTGCACAGGCCGACACCGGTTCAGTCTCCGTGTAGAGCTCTCCAACCATGGGGTACCGGTGAGGATCTTCTCGAAGAGTGTTGTGATGAAGCTGCACGTAGACCTCCACCGACTTGATCAAGCTTCCATGAGGTACTCGATGAACAGCTCGGTCTCGATGAAGTACCTTTTCTTCCAGCATCATCCAACCATCCTCAGCGGTGCGAATCCATGAAGAGATCGGCACTGTGCTATCCACAGGAAGCATGCCCTTCTGGTTCATGGTGTCGAAGCCAACGAAGAACTTGTCACCATTCTGACAATCATGTGAGCCTTGTTGTCCAAGCATGACTGCAGTCCTTATCGGAAAGCTGAACTGCTCCCATGACCATGGTGGATAAGCGTGTTCAATCCACTCTTGCTTGATCTCAAGCCAGGTCTCTCCTTGAACTGCCACTTGACTGTGAACATGACTCTGAGTGTTCCAGCTGTCCTTGAAGTTGTCATTCCGGACGAAGTTGATGTTGCCCTCCTCATCGCAGAACACGGATCTTCGCAGACCAGTGAATGCCTCATTGGGAAAGAACCTGGGCACCGTAGCCGTCGACGGATGGAAGAGGATCCTCCTGGGGCAGTAGTGGTCTCTGCAGATCCATCCATTGATGTGGCCAAAACGCCACTCATCAGTCAACCGTCGATGAAGTCGGCTTGGTCGTTGAAGTTGTTCTCGAAGTCCTGAGATGGGCAAGCGGATGCAGTCAAACCGACTGGCAGGCAGAGGCGGCATGTGGAGGTCCGCCATGAACACTTCGGCCTCCTGACCACTGGCCACCTTGTCGATGAAGTCGACGTACTCTGCCTCCATGATCTCATTGAGATAGCTAACTGGAGCACCCATCTTATCTCTCATCCGTCTGGCCTTCATGACGCCATCTCGAACTGCCAGGCGTGCACCACTCTTCAAGTCCTTGAAGGCTGCTTTCCACAGGGTGCCAACTGAAAGCTTCACAGCATCTGATCGTCTGTCTCGTTCAGCTGGTAGAACTGAGGAGTGAGTACCCAACCTTCCTGAACTGAACGGGTCTGGGGGTTGAAGTGGTCGAAGTGGACCTGCCCATCCGGGTTCATTGGGAGTCCCCAAGGTACTTGGAGATGACTCAAAGTTGGGGCTTGTGCAGTTGGTCCTGTTGGTGCTGATACTTCCATCGCTTTCGAGCCAGTCATTGGTCCTTTGAGGTCGCTGTCTTCTGCGGATCCTTTGGATCTCTCTGGGCTCGAGCCAAGGGCTTTCCCCATCAGAACGTCCACCATCGGTTTGCACTTGGCCTTCAACTGGTCGTTGGTGTCCTTGGGGTCCACGGTCACGTTCAGGAGAACCGCCAGCTTGACCAGGTCTGCCTTGTTGCGAGGCATCCCGCCTCGGGGTCCGAGAAGCTCTCTGGCGAGTTCTTCCTTCCGGCCATCCAGCTCTGCGATTGCTTGGTGCGTAGCCTGAACTAGTGCAGCTTGCTTCCGAGCACGGGGAGGTTTCTTCAGTGCCTTGATCCCGAACATCACGGCCTCGTCTTCCATGAACGCCTCCTCCAAGCCCATGCGGTTGCGGAGCATCTGAGCCTCTTGAAGGTGCAAAAGACTCATCACCTCCTGGGCCTTCGGCAACCATCGCTTCGGCCACACCTTGCGTCGCACCATGTCCTTGAGCTGGGTCTTCCACTCCTCCGCATTCGTGACCACCGGCAAGGGCACGGGCAGGAAGCGCAGGAATGGACGTTGCACCAACCACAGCATCACTCCCTTCCAATGCCAAGTCCTCCTGGCAGCCATCCACAGCAGAAGACGTTGCCATCGCGAAGCGGTCGGGGAGATCTCGAAGAGATTGGGCATCATCTTCGAGCTGCCAGGACGAGCTTGAGCTGAAGAACTCCGGGATGTAGTGCACAACCATGTTCAAGTCACCATCAACGTCAGTCGAACGATCAACTAGTCGATTGTGTGCCTTCCATGCGACTCGACCTTCACATTGAACCTCACAGCAACCTCCGACACCTACGACATGCCATGCGAGAGGTCCAAGCGTCGGCCACGAGGTCAAGGGTTTTGGGAGGAGGTTCAAAGAAAAATGACCTGCTTTCATCTTGCTCAGGGGTGTCCATTCTTCAGTGAGGTACTTCAACTGTAGTTTCTTTGAAGAGAAGTTCAAAGTTGCCCCCAAGCTCTCAAGGAAGTCCTTCCCCAGCAAGCAACCTAGTGAATCGCAAGGAATGGCAGCTAGCCAAAGAAGCACCACTTGGTTTTTCACGACAATCGGCAGCCTGATGCGCTTCTGACTCTCTAAGATTCCGCCATTGCCGAATCTGAAGTAGTCTCTCACCGGCTTCTCCATGATCAGGTTCTCGATCTCAGGAGGCGCATAGTTCAGCGCTGCCTTCATGGTCTTGATCCATTCTTCACCAGCGCAGCTCCTGTTGCATGCAGAGTCAAGAGCTGCGACATACATCTTGTCCAAGCTCAACTCCGGAGGTCCAGCTGCACTTGCTGTCAAAGCCTCCGAGAGCGTTGAAACCACGTTGATCTCATGGACCGTCGGCTCCAGGTCGAAGGACACGTTGTAGTTTGCACCTTCCAGGAGGTCGACCACGTTCACCTCCGCTGCATTGGCCTCATTGCGGTAGGTCGAAGACTTGGGAGAGGTAGTCGACGATGAAGCTCCTGTCTTGTGCATGGGTTTGGGAAACTTCGGAAGCTGTTTCCCTTTTGCTGAACTCTTGCCACCAGCAGGACATTCTGGGTCTCCTTGCCAGTGACCAGTCTGGCCACACGCAAAGCACTTGCCGTCCTTTGCACCAGTTGAGCCTTTCTTTCCACGGCCCTTTCCACCTTTGAAGCTCGAAGTTCCAGGTCCACGAAATCCACGATCTCTTCAAGGCATTGATTTGTGACCTCGCTTCACGAAGGGTCACCAATGCTTCCACAGCTCCTTCAACTTGTTCCTCAATGGCCGCCAGGTCATCATCAGCCTGTGAACCATCTGCCAACTCATCCAGCTCTGTCGCCATGGCCTCAAGGGTTTGTTGAAGCCCCTCAAAGCCGCCAAGACTCTCAGAGTTTCCACCACCATCGTCTTCACCTTCGGCAGGGTGTTCTTCAGCTTCAAAGGCCTCATACTCAGGCGGGTCCTCGTCCTCATACTCCGTGACATTGACTGAGCCGCCAAAGCCTTTGCCGCCGCCACGCCGCCATGTAGAGCTTGAAGACGAAGTAGTCGAGGGAAAGCTCTTCCGGAACCGGGACAAGGTAGAAGACGTCAAGGAAGTAGGTCGCTTAGCGAAGTTTCCATGACCGCCATGTTGTGGTCCTCCATGTCCAGGTCCATGCCCATGTCCAAAATGGACTCGCTTGAAGAGGCGAACAGCCTCCCTCTCGCAGGCACCGTAGTCCTCTGTCTCCACCCCCAAGGTCGTCTCCAGCATCTGCCGCTGAAGCTCTGTGAGGGCGAGCTTCTGCTTGAAGAACCATGCCTGCTCGCTGGGGTCCACCATGATGCCTTCGGCCTTCATCTCTCCAACCAGCGTTCTATACCGAAGTGCAAAGTTCGGTATGCTTTCACTACCTCCACGGCGAAGCTGAAGGTAGTACTTCTCACGAAGCTGACCTTTGCGGTCAGTCTGTGACCTCCCAACCATGTCATCCCAGGAGGCCAGGATCTTCTGGATTCCAGCGTCGTAGACCGCAGGTGTCAACTCAACCATCTCATCAGTCTCATCATCCTTCACCTTCTCGGCGGGGATGTACTCGAGCTCTTTTGGATCAAACTCCAAAGCTCTCAACTTTGCGCTGCCCTTCTGCCGCATAGCAAAGCGTGCGGCCAAGTTGTAGGAAGTGGTCTTCTCCAGGTCGATCGAGTGCAACCACCATTGGACGGCCTTCTTGAACTCTCTGAGGGTCTCGCTTCTGCCGTCCCAGACCGGTATGTAGCTATCAAAGCCCCGGTCATCCTTCTTCTCGTCCGCCATGAGCTCCACGAGGATGTAGTCCACCACCAGGCAACCTTCTATCCCTTGGCCGAGGGAGAGGCTTTACGCCACCAAGGAAGTCCGTCAGGAAGACCTCCAGGAAAAAGTTCGGTCGAAGTCCACCGCCGAGTCGGAGTCGTCCAGAGCACGAAGTCCACCGAGAAGACGTAGTCGTCCACAAAGGCAAAGAAGTCCACCAAGAAGTTCTCGTCCAAGGTCAGTGACCTCAACTCAAGGTCAAAGACCACCAAAGCCAAAGAGCGGCCAGCAAGCCGCAACACGTAGGACTAGCGTAGTCCACCAGCAAAGCCACCAAAGCGAAGCCGCGCAGAAATGGCCCGGAACCCTAAGGCTCCGCTACCACTGTAAATAGCGGCACCCGAAAACCTACGAAAGATCGAAGGAAGCGGAATGCGCACACTATTTGCTACCGTTGGAGCCAAATGCTCAAGGCCTGTCCGGCCGCCGTGAAACACATCCAAAGGCCAAACATGCTCATTCACAATACCGATATGTATTAGATTCTTGAGGATCCACTTGGCGCGCATTCTTCATAATAGTCTTCTGACTCCGACGCTGAGGCACCAGAGTTCAAAGCAGTGGCTTCTTTTTGTCCTCCAGCTCCTCCTCGGCAAAAAAAACTGGTTGAAGGCGTGGTGCAAACCGAAAAAGTAATGATTGGAACATGTGGGTAGTGAATCGGGATGTCTTTGGGTAGTTTGTTTTCTCTTCCAAACAGTGATCGGTTCTAGGTCTAGGTCGGTCGTCGCATTTTATAATAGGAAACACATACAAAGAACACATGGTCTTGACAATTCCTGACTTCCAAAGATCCACCCCCCACCCCATTCTGTCTCTGCTCCCAAACCGCCTCCACTGGCGTCCAGGGCTCCGTCACCTGCGTCCAGGGCAGGTCCACCTCTTCCCGCCAGCGATGCTCACACCACTTGGAGTCGGTCAGGTCAAAGAGCTCCAGGAGCTTCCTGGGAGGCTTCAGGAGATCCACGCCATTGGTGTGGAGTGGATGATGTGAGCTTGGATGGACCTAAGGATCTGGATGATGATGGAGGATCCTCCTCTTTGGAATGAATGCAGCAAATTTAGGACATCCGACGTAGAAAGGTTTTGGAGATGTTTTCTAGAGAGGCTTCATTACTATGTAGGTTCGTAGATGGTCACGGAACTGGGCCCCACGCCTGTGTCACAAGTGCCTCCATCAACGAATTTGAGACGTGCTTGCGCCCCAAAGGCAGTTGGATCCAACCCCCCGGGAGCTGGAGGATGGCAGGCTGCTGTACAGTCATGGTATACTGCTGCACATGCAAGTTTGAGACACATATTCAGGTAAACTCATCATTGTAGTGACAAGTTCTTCAAGTTCACAACCAAAGTTGATGAAATCCATGTGAAACCCATGGACTCGTTGATCCAATTCCATGTGGCATGATCCAACTTGGACTATTCACAAAAAAAACTCTTCACCAAACGGCAAGGGAGACACCAGTTCGTTTGCACCTCTCACTCCGTTTCGCACCTTTGTTTCGGCTGCCCAGTGTCCGCTGGCCGCCCATCCAGACCTAGGCCGGCGAGCCACGATGCCACCGGTCAAAGGGATTGGATTCTTGGGTGTGATGTTCACTGCTAATCAGATTATGAAAACACTATATGTACACATATATATATATATTTATATTTGTATATATATATATTTATTTATATTTATATATATACATATACACAGGTAACCGCAGGTAGTTATAGGGGTAGATGGCACAGGTAGTTATAGGGGTAGCTGGGAGGGCCGACATAGATTTTGAGTTTGGAGACCATGCTCCTGCAAGGTTCATTTCCTTTGCCGAAACAAAACACCAAAGCTAAAAGCCCTCCTGACGCAAAGCAACAGCTTCCCCTCGCCAACTTCCCAAACTCATGTGTTGTGAAGCTGACAAGAAGTAGAATCGGACCATGTGACCACCTTCAGGATGGGTTCCCAAGCAGATTGTTGCTTTCCTTCTTGGTCAGAGTACGCCAACTCTGTAGTCAACAAGTGCACCCAGTAGTGCACAGGAACATCAAGAGTTTGAGGCGCCAATCTACCATCGCTAACATGAGAAACATCCAACACATTCTGGAAAGATCTAGAATCTAGCAGTTGTGCAGTGGTAGTTTCCAGGGGTAAAACACAAATAACGAACAAACCAACCAAACAACAAACCGGAAAACCAGCCAATTCACCAACCAAACAACCTCAAAAATGATATCTAGTAAGCAAAGCAAGCAAAACAAGCAACTAGCCTCACCAGCAAACAAACAAGACGGACTACTTCCCCCGGCGCCCACCTTCTCAGCACCTCCAAGACACCATGGGATGTGCCACAAAGACCAAGATGGCGCCTCGAGGCATCCGACTCTCAAAACCCAGGGCCTCGCCGACCAAATCCACGAAGCTCTCCTGCCATGCGCCGTTTCACGTGCGACCCATGAAGAGGGGCCACCTCTGAAAATCCTGGAAGACTGTGGACTCCACACTGCTAAAGGAAAAGGTATCTGGATGAGACGACCAGAGCATTCGGAAGTGCAATTTCACGGTGTTTTCAAGAGCTCCAAGTCAATGGTGCAGGAGCTGTCTTGCAGTGGCATGTCCAAGGATGTTGATTCTGTGCTGTCTTAATGTGTCCAATAAAACACAATGTTCTCGCTTGTTTTACACATGCAGCACTGAACAAACGGTGGGTGGCAACAAAGGGGCTGTTTTGGATCCAGGAGTTTTTTCAGTCTGGACCTTCGACCATTGAACATGTTGAGCATCCATGAAGACTTGCGGCTAGACTTGGACTTGCAAAGTTATGTAAACACTAAGTCTTCAGTGTACCAAGCAAAGAGACAGCAAACATCTCTCGTCCATTACGAATGGCAAGTGAACAAATCCCATCCAAAACTCTGCATCTTTCCTCTCCAACACATTCGCTTCTGTACCTTTCGGGTGCAAACATAGCAAGCTACAAGAGAGACAAATAAGGAGAGAGAGGGAGAGAGGGAAAAACACATCTGTGAGTTGAGAGATTATACGCAGGACAAAACTCTTGTGGTTATGGGTGCTTTCCGACATCTTGTTCCATAGCAACCAAGTTCTCCTGGTTGTGATTCAACGAGGGAAGGGACAAATTATGAACACCGGGAACACCTATTGTGTAGGTCTCTTGGGAGTCCACGAACTTCCAACATCTTCCAACCTTTTGGGGGCCGGCTGGCCACCTCCCATGATTCACCAAGCTGCAGTAATGGGCAAGGACTCATCCCACCTGGAGATCTGACTACTGAGGAAAGCTAGGAGAGATCGAGCAACTACAGTCGTTTCTGGCACCAAAAAAACACGCGGAAAATTGAACTAAGGCATTGTACCTTGAACTAAGGAAAATTAACATGGAAACTGAACATGTATCGCACCTGGAAATTTAGTTTCCTCCACAAACCAGTGGTTGTCAAGCTCCATGTGGGTTCTTTCCAGTGTAGATGGATTGTTCGTTCCAACATTGAACAAACACTGAACAATTCTGAAGATATGACATGATGTGGACTAAGAAAATAATAGATGGTTCGTTTTGAACCCCACACCGTTCTATATTGTTCATCCTCACTTCCAGGTTTCCAAGTTTTTGATGCATGGGGGCACCCACTGTATCACTCAACAACAAAGGGTTGAGCATCTTCCAATGTCACGTTGACACATCAACTCAGCCGCCTCAACTGAGTTTGACTCCGTGCCTAACAAAAATGGCCCCTCCTCTGACCGGCACCGGTTCCATTATCATTCCTTTTGGTTGAGCCCATGCGCAGCCCTGGTAAATGACCCAGCTACCCGGCACCTAGTCTCTGCCAGAATGAAGGCCAAAACACTTGGTGTTGAGCAAAGGCCCACGGCAGTTCAACCACGTGATGGGCACAAACATGTACTTCCTGAAGGTCAGAGAAACTCTTCTTGGTTTTGAAGGATGGCAACATCTGTCCTGATAGAAGTTGTCATTTTTTGCACGGGCAATCATGGGCTTTTGCCAGTTGCACTCAAAGTTGTAACAATCGTGGGATCACTCTTGGGCGAAAGCATATGTTTAGTCCGTTGACAGGCTAGCTGCTCACAGAGTTCTTAGTCCGCTTGATGGGATTGCGCCAAAACAAATGTATACATGGGCCATACCTTAGACCCCAAAACCATGCCCACACCCTGAATTCTAGATGCCTTCGATGCTCCCACCAATAAAACTATACTGTGTAGGACTCGTTGTGGCAAAGGATTCGGAACTCCAACTTCAAAACCGACCTAAACAAACAACCTGGCTGGCCTGGACAGCTCACGCTCTTCAGTGGAAAAGTGGGAAAGCAGGCGAAAAACCTGTACGAAGCAACATGTCAGTAGGTAGATGTGATGAATGAGTTCAAAAATCGGATGTGTCGGGGACAGTTTTTGGCATACTCACAAGGCAAAAAACAAGTTGCTGCTTAAGATGGCGTCCGCCTCTGCATCCCAAGCTCCTGGATTCATAGCCCTCCAAACTCAATCCTTCTTCCTTGGCAATCTGGCATTTGGTCACTCCAGAGAGGTGTGGGCCTCCACAGAATTGAGCAAAAACTCAGACACCCACTTGAGCTTGACGTCTTCCCCGGTCTTGGGCAAGATCTGAATCTTCTCCTCAAAGCTGGCATTGGCATAGCGGTCAGCAATCGCTTGCGCATTTGGATTCTGAGACCTTTCTAGTTCACGGCACTCTTGAAACGATTGATGAGTGGTGGTGGCAGCACGCTCTGCTTTGCCAATCCACGTTTTGGCGCTATTATCAATTGCAGCAAGGCATCAAAATTGGCTCACAAATCAAGATCGATCCGCACTTATGAAGCACTGAAATTCGTGCGCCAGCTGTGGACCCAAGCTGTACACTCGCAAACATAGAAGCTCCGCACCAAGCCTCCAAAAATCGTTGAGCCCTCTCCCAGACATAGACCAGCCTGAAGTCCCTCTTGGGGTCCTGGGCCTGCCCCTGGCCTGGGCAGGGAAGGGGTGTGGGTGTACAAGCCCCCCCTGAGCTTGTACATGAGGAGGTATTAAGCCCTCTGGCGCTTCAGGTCTTTCACCTCAAGCATGTGAACATGCATACATACATACATGCATGCATACATACAGACAGACAGAAAGACAGACAGACTTACATACATGCATTCTTATACATACACCATACATACACACATCCATGCATGCATGGATGCATCCACACATACATACATAGATACATACATACATACATACATACATACATATACATATACATATACATATACATATACACATACACATACACATACACATATACATATACATATACATATACATACATACATACACTGACCATACATACATTGTTCATATTGAATTATTCAGCCAAGCTTCTTTGACCTTCTTGACCAGGCTCTCTGCCGTGCTTTCCAAAAACACACATATACACACACTTGAGCAAGAGTCGCCTTGAACATGAGAAGTGCCAGATAAGCAAGGAAAGCTTCCATTTCCCTTTGAAATGGCCAAAGGACAACCTTCCAAAAGGCAGCTTTAAAGAGATGACTCGTTCTCCAGCCAGAGACATCTCCCACCAGTGAAAACAAGTCAAATGTCAGAAGATATGTCACATAGAATGTCAGAAGGTATGTCAGATAGAATGTCAGAAGATATGCCAGATAGAATTTCATCTCGAGGCATATCCCATAACGCTTCATAGGTCTTTCTGCGCCACTCTCCTTTAGACGGCTGTAGCCACTGATGCCGGAGGCCTTGAAGTTGGAGCTCCGAATCCTTTGCCACAACAAGACCCTCTATGTACAGTAGTAAATCATAGTATATCCATGTATACGTATATCACCCTGATCTAATTTACTTCCCTGTTCCCTCCCTCCGACTGCTCCGGATCTGCCGGAACGGTTCGTTCCGGGCGTCCGATCGAAGTCCTCGAAGTCTTCAAGCCCCGAGGGCCTGGCCCCGGACAGGCCAGAACTCAAAAGGCCTAAACGTCCGTATACCAAAAGCAAGGCGGACAGCGAGGACTGACAAGTCACCAGACCTTTTCACATACTGACAAGTCACCAGACTGTCCTTTGACATGCTTTTGTAGAAACAAACATGACCTCGAGGCCTTCGGAAACCGCGCCGCAAGGCTCCCTCCACATCCAGGCCATCCGAGTAGAGCAGCGCCGTGAAGAGATCCAGATCCTTCGGGAATCGGTAGTTCAAGAGCAGGCCCTGCCCCTTCTTTGGAAGGACATGCAGCAATCATAACATGTGTATATCTAATATATATATATATACATTATATGTTTTGACTGAGTTAAGAAGTTGTTGTCTATGTATTGAGCTTTAATGAGTCTCGTATGGCTGACAGGCCCTTGCCTAAGAAGTTGTTCGATTGTTCCAAATCATTTGGGTATTGGTATCACTCGATCTTGAAGGCTTTTGGCTACCCCATGATAGAACTGCTTTGGTCTGGCAGCCTGGCAGAATGGGCTCTTATTATTGTATGAATTTGGTTTTATACTGTCTCCTCACAAGCGGAGGCCAAAGACCACAACGAGTGAGAGCAGTGGCTCTAGCATGTGTTCTTGCAAGTCGGTTGACTCTTCACGTCTCTTGATTATCTCTGTACCCATCTTTCAAAAAGCATCGCATGATTTCAAAATAATCACCTCATAGGTTGGCTGTTCTGGCCATATCTTGGCCAGAATAGTGTGCATCATGTGCTCAACAAGGCCAAATAAAGACTAAATATTGGCGTATTGGGTGTAGCCCATTATATACTACCAGTAACGGTGGATAATGATGGTTAGTGAAGGCCTTTCTCTAAAATACGTGATACCTCTTTTCTAAGTTCTCTATCATTGAAGTGTTGATGAGCCGAGAACGGTCAGGCCTCGCTGAGACGCAGGTAGTCTTGCCGCCGCTCCAGCAAGAGCTTTCGGACGGAGCCAGCCGGTCCAGAAGGCTCGAGGCTGGTGAGGTAGTCCTTGCAAACCAGCAGCGCATGATACATCCTCGCTGGATCATTGAAGCGCTCCGTGGGCTGAAGAAATGGCTCGAAACCAAACACTTGAAACTTTGGGCAAACACATAGCTCGACAAGTCTGCAAGCTTCGTACGCTCAAGACATAGAGTAGCATGTGTGTTCCAAGCGCATTGGACCGTGCGTGCACTCAAAAGTGTGTATTGGACCATATTGGACTGCCGTTGGATAAGCAATTGGCAGAAATTGCTCCGCAAGAATTGGTCTCAAAAGGTCTGCCAATGCTTGCAAGGTGTTCTTCAGCCATCTTTAACCCCCCTCGAAGTGACACATCCTCCTCATCCTCCCATTGGCGCTTTGAGACCATCTATGGGATGTGGGGCGTCTCATTGCCGAGCGTCTCATTGCCGGCGAAGTGGAAGGTGGCCATGCCTGGGTGAAATATGAAACTGGGGAACATCAGGACCCACAGATTTTTTAATGATGTTTGGTGGATGATGAAAAGAACTGACAACACATCCTAAGATGGTACAAACATACAAGCCAAAAAATGGAGCAAATACAAACATGTCACTCATCGTATTTAAGTGTGAGGTCTCTCCTCTTTCCAACATGTACAGCATGTCAACATCGCCCAAGATCCCAATTCCCCAACAACCACCCTCCCTCCCTCCCTTCCTTCCTCCCTCCCACTCGGCTCTAGCGCCCTCCAAAGCACGGTAGCCGCCGAAGTAGCGCCCCAAGGCCTCTGGGTCCAGGCAGCCAATGCCCGGGATCACCCACCCGAAGAAACCCACGTAGAGCGCGCAGCAGACGGATGGCAACGTCCACGCCTCGCCACCTTGGCGGTTGGCGGCAAAGGGACGAATGGATGGAGTGATGACCGAGGTGAGTCAAATTAGGAGTGATGGTCCAGGTGAAGTCCTGCAGATTCAGAGGTGATGGATGTCTTGAGAATGGGGCTGGAACCTCAGTGTACTGAAATCGGGGGTTTCTTGAGTAATTATATTCATTATATCATATGCCGGTTTCTTGATAAGTCACGTCACTTCCAGTTGTTGACTTTGAAGTTTCCAGCTACATGGAACTAACTCACCCTAGGACTTTGGCACATATCACCAAAACACGGTCAAAACAGTGATCACAAACAACTTCGAGCGAACCAAGCTGGTGAACATGGAGTGTGGTCGTCTTAGCATTTGCGCATTTACGAGCCAGTCAGCTGCTCTAGATGCTGAGATTGATGCTATCCCTCCCCAGCGGTCCTGCCTGGCATTCCGGCTGACTCCATTCGAAGCTTCGTGGAGCACAGCAGCATGTAGCAGGTCATGACATTCCAGCGGAAAGGGCCCATGCCAAAGAAGAAAATGAACCTGTCACAAGCCATGCACTTGGGTATGTCAAGCCAGGTGCGGCGTAAAATTGAGACCCTGCGACAGCCATCCCATTTCTGGAATCAATGTTGTACTACCAGTAGCAGGCATAGAACACGGGCTTTCGATTCACCGTTTTCCTCTACAAAGGGGCGATTTTAAACATGTGTTGCGGTAGAGGAAGACCGAGCAATGTACATGTGGATTATGCCCACTCTTCCAGCTCTTCTGCCCACTCTGATTGTCCGATAAGCCCTGTCAGCAAACGAAGCCGAGAAGTGCCAAGTATTCAAAGAACTTCTTCCGCATCAAGGATTCAACATGCCATCTTCTCTTCTAGAAGGAAACATATTAATGAAGAGAAGGACAACAAGGTCAATGAAGTACTCCAAACTCAGTCTCTATAAATCTATATCTTGGATTATCTTGACTGACATGACAGTGTCCCTCACTCAGCTATGAGTCACTTTGTCCATCTAAAACCGCCACCCGTTTTGCAGACTTTCACAACATGCGGATCTTCATCCAACGCTTACGACCGTGTGCATGCGCGGTTCGAAACACTGGTTTCGATCCAAAAAGTCATCATCGTTTCATCATGTTCTACGGATCCTACGGACATTGTTCGAGCCAAACCCCAGTCCAACCAACATTGGTTCGACTCAAATCGAGTCACACGTGCATGGCCAGCGCCAGGACCACGAACACCACACCAGGGTGGGGTAAAGCCTCGGAACGTCAACAGGTCACAGAACAGCTGGAAGGCTTAAGCAACACACAGCCTACACGTCCCCCCCAGCAGCTTGCACGGTCCGAAAAGAACAAACACTCAGATGTCATGATATGTCCCTCATTGTCCCTCTAGTCCAGGTCCTGAAATCATCCAGCAAAGCTAACCGTAAGACAGGATAACACGGGAGAGCTTTATCCACGGCGGACCAGGCGTTCAGGAAGCCCACCATATTCCACTCAAAACCAAACTCCGAAAACAGCTTCTCTATGCCAGGCTCTTCCATGTTTCTTCCTTCTGCTTCATGCATGGGGCTGACAGCATCATGCCGAGACCGGCAAAGGTCTCCAGCCAAGCGCCGAACTGCCCGAAGAGTCGACTGAAGGGCCGAGGCCGATAGTCCTGGAGGGTTGGGGTGTCGACCGACTCCCGATGCCTTTGCGATCCCCATGAACATCCAGGTTTAACGTTCCACCGGTTTTTGTTTAGGGGGTGTCCTCAATCCCCTTCAAAAAGTTTACATCTTTAGATGTCATCCACTGACTGGCAACGGTGTGGCCTGCCGATGTCCAAGCAATTGGGAAGGAAAATACACCCAAATGCAAGGCTTTTCATGCTACTTCCTGGAAAATCAAAGAAACAAGACAGATTTGATTCGATGGAAAAGGCTGAAACACATTGTATCTGTTTTCCCCATAAGTTGGAAACTGGGTCTTGAATGCTCGTTGGGAAGTGACGGCTGCCCTTGGCCTTCCATGAGTTTCTGGACTAGCCATCTGCGGTCTCAACATGGGAAGAACTCGAACTTGTCCAGCAGGGGATGAGATCGATGCAACCAGGATGGGACAAAGGACGTGGCGACGTGGTGGATAGAATGGGATACAAAACGGCACGTGGGACGATGAGTTTGGACGATGGAGGGAGAAGGAACGGGATCGGATTGGATAAGAGCAAACAAAAACATGTGGTATAATGTGAGGATGATACTGCTGCTCTTGGCTATATGAATAGTTGCTGGTGCTTAGTGCTTGAACAAAGCTATCCAAAGCTTGATTCGTGAGAGTGGAAGATGCAGAATGTGCAATGCTACACACCTTCAATAGTTAGATATTATAGATACATCTTAAACAAACATATGTAGACACCAAAAGACTGTATGATGCCCAGGATGCCTGGCTCTGTCACCACCCGCTCACCATCTCTGCACTTCCTGAGAACTCCCGACTCTGAACCCGACCTGCCTGGGTGAGGTAACAGCGACGGAAGAGCCAAGAGACGCCCGAGAAATTGAGGAATTGGTACTGAAACACGAAGCCTTGGTTGGAGGAACCTCCTCCCTCTCTCTCCCTCTCTCTCTGTCAATGGATGGTTAAGCTGTAGGTGTGAGCCATGCTGCGTCCAGCCGTATCCAGACTGGTGTGAACCAAAGAGGTGAAGTTCCAGTGTGATTGATTTAACAGATGCTTGGATCAAATCTGGGGGGTCCTGTTCTGTATGCTCAGATTTGTGTGCCATAAGGTGTCCTCAGGACCTTTCCCACCTTTCGGCCGTTGACCGAAAACCCTCCAAAGGAATGCCCTCAGGAGCGTTCCCGTTGGCATCACGGCAGATGCTTGCGACCAGCGGCTTCGCGGCTTGGCCGATTTCGGATCGCTCCCCGCAGCGACTCCCATCTCGACAGATCGACCAAATTGGGGAGGCTTTTGGTCGTCTGGTTCGACCCTGCTTTCAAAGAGGATCCGCGACCCAACCAATGTGTGTCCAGGAGTCTCGACTCCGTGTGCTCGATTTGTTTCAGGCGAGATTCCATGGAAGAATCCACGGACCTTGTAGAAACCTGGGCTGATTTGATATGGTTCTGCTTGGATGATCTTGACATGCGCATGACTGAAATGACAATAAATGACATACAATTCATACAATGATGACAATGATCATCAATTATCTACCTCACTGCTCTCAGTAAGCCGATGTCAGTGCAACATGCTTGGAATCCATCTGGTCCAAAATAGAGGTCACTGTAAGGCTCTATATATTGTATATATATATATATTATATTGCCGCGGTGCCAGCCAAGTGGCCTGACCAAAAGTACCTCACTTGCGGTAACCAGGTGCGATGTTCACTCTCAAACTGATGTTCACAGACCAGCAATGGGACAAACATATAAAGTAGATCCCCACTAAAAATGGTGATCGGAAACCGTTTCTATCTATTTGGGGTATACAGCTACCATATCGTACCATATGGTGCCAATTGGTGGAAGCACGGTCGAGGTGGCTCGCACAGCTGCAAGTCCACACGGTCGTGAGTGGGGTCAGCAACTTAGCGCATCCATGTCACACAAACATCTCAAACACTCGTTGTGATGTTCTGTTTGTGCTGGGAGCAAACGAAAAAGCTATGATGATGATGATCATCATGATGATGATGTTGATGATGATGACGACAACAAAGAACACACACAAACAAAAACAGCAATTACCAAATAAGTGAAATTGCGACCGCGCCACAGCGAAACGCTCGTTAACAAACGTCCAGCATCGTCCAGCCATTGTATTTAATAGTATCTCGTTGGTGCAGTTGTGGTGCAAACATGCCAGCAGCATGTAAGTGCTGTCAGGTCGAAGCAAGCTAGACACCAGGAACTTGAGGATGTCTGAGGGTCTCCTCAATGGCAGAGGGATCACGGTGGCCCCTACAGATCCCCCACCAAACTCACTCAGGTGTGGGTGTAGAACTGAGCCCCAAAAACGGATATGTGCGGCGGCATTTTATTGGCACTACACTCAAATACACTAATCAGCACTAATCTATTATGTGGGGACCTATCTCGTTTAGACTACTTAAGTAGGAGGTCATGTCACAGTATCTCGTTCAGACTACTTTAGAAGCAAATCACACTATCTCGTTCAGACTACTTTAGTGTCATCCAGCAAAAATACCTCGTTTGTTCACAAGCAATACTGATGATAGACAAGCAAATAGAAGCCTAAATAAAAGTGGTTGCTCATATAACTAGTAGAATCAGTAGAATGTATAGTACCAGTAGGTATAGCACCGTATAGCATGCCCGGTGCATACCTGACCCATCATTCCACACCATCATGCTCCGGAAGGCGCATTTTTTTTCACCCCAGAAGGAGGCGCCCTCCAGCTCCGCCTCCGCCTCCGCAGCGCGACGATGGCGCCAAGTCTCGTGGAGTGGAACAGGCCTCGGTCCTTGGAGCGCTCGCAGTGGAGACAGGTCTTCGGGTCTGCGGGTAGTCGTGGGCTCTGGGACGGACTCGGGAGCTGCGACATCGGGGGACCTCGTGTGTTTGTTGGATCAGGTTTTCATGTTCTGTGTGAATCTTCCCGGATGTAGATGGGATGGGAGAACACCAAACCCGGCCCGAGTCATCTCTTAGGCCCTTGGGGGAACCATGGAACGGGTCACGGTCACAAAGTAACTTTCCTGTACAGCCCAAAATGAGCAGAAGACTTTACATGTCACCCACCAAACATGCTCAAATATTATGCAACCAAAGGATCCCTGGAAAACAGGCCACTTGGGATCCAGACTCAGCTACACATGGTCTGGACACCCTGGGAAACCACCTTAGAATCCGATACAGGGAGAAGCTCAGCTGTCAAGATCTCGTGTCGTTTTTTGGAAGCGCACTCACTCACATCTTTTCGTAGGTTGGTTGGTTTCACCCACATCCGGCACAGTTGCAAAGTGTTCCAAACAACTCCACATATTCATACTCGAAAGGGGGACCCCTCAGCCGTTGGCACCCCGGTACTCTGTACCTTGGCACCACTAGAGTTGAAATCAAAAAACACCGGGAGCCGCGAGGTCGCAACCGGAATTCCAAGAATCAAAAATGCAAGCAAGCAGGAAAATGCCAGTGAAGAGGAGAACGTCCTTCAAGCATTGAGGCGCAAAAGGCAGTTGTTCAGCACATTCAGGAACGGCCAAGGCATGGTGAACATATTCGAGTTCAACCGTTATCCTTTGACCTGTGACTACAAACGAGGCAGGCAACGCAATCTCTGCCTCTAGGTGGCATGTATTCCAACTCTATGAACAAAGCCACATTCCAAATTCTCAGCACGGGAACAAGTAGCTTAGGACAGGTTATGATATTTTAATGTTCGTTCAAGTTATGTTCCTCCTTTTTGGCAAATCAATTTGATTCTATTCTATATATATGTCAGCTTCCAGGAGGGCAAGTCAAGGAACTGCAAATCAGTCCAATCGGAGTCCACTGTCCTGGTCGGCGACACGGTACGTGATTAACTGGACAGCTGCCAAAAGCACCCAGCCGGCATAAACGCCAGCTCCCAGCACCTGCTAGAGCTAGTGGAGGTGCTCCCAGCAGTTGATGGGGTTTGTTCACAGATTGTTGCTACTGCTAAGGACCAAGATCTGTGTCTTTTATTCAGAACACAAACATAGAATCGGTGAAAGCCAATTTGTTGACTTACACAGGAGAGGACACCGAAAGCTGCTGAAGGCTGGAGGTAGCTGGTTGGAGCGAACTTGGCCTTTAGCCTTGACACCTCAGGAGAAGAATGTAGCGCACCGCCCTAAAACCCATAAGAATCAAAACTCCGCCGTTCAAAAAATGGTTGAAGAAAACTCCATGAAACTCCTTGAAGGTCTGCTCCAACCAGTGTAGAACTCCAATGGAGTTCTCTTCCTTCCTCGGAAACCTCGGCCTCCTCAGCTCCCCCCACTCTTCCCACCGCTCGCGCACCGTCTGCTTGCGCGGCAGCAGTCGTGGGATCCAGGGTGTGACCGGTGCGCCGGGACGCAGCAGCCGAAGGGCGAAGGGCTCGGAGGCGGCGAAGGACATGAGGATGGCCTGGCAGGCGAAGGACGGTGGGGAAGCAGGTGGAGATACGCATCACGAACGCATCACGGATGGCCTGGTCCGCCCATGGTCCCTTCAAAGACGACTTCCGTTTTAGTGAGTATAGATGGATGTAGATGGGGAGGGACTTGGAAGATTGGCTTTGCATTTGAAAGCAGGGCCCGGGGGGTGTCTAATCATAGCCCCTTAGTATTGAGGGGTGCCCATTAAACACCCCTTAGGGGGCCCTGGTAATAGGGGCTTATCATCTGAGCTTGTGTGTGGCTTCGACCCGGGCCTCATCCACCCCAACAGCTGCCATGAGGTGGTGCAGCATGAGCACCCAGCCTTGGCTGTGCAAACCAGGCGTCCGAAGCCGGGAAAGTATGGACATGCCAAGCCTTAATATGTTTGTTTGGGGGCAGATCTGTCAGTAAGTGCTGGAAGGTGTTGTGACATCTAGAAGGCATGAACGATTTAAGGGGTTGCTGTTGCTGGTGAGTGAGCATACGTACATATATATATATATATGGTCTTGCTACTGTCATCACATCACAGGTCATCATGGAGTGGCGCCGACTGCATTGGTGCCCTTGATGATGCTTCTAGAGCGGGCCCAAAACTGACCACTCCTTGTTTTGGCTCTACGGGGGAGTGCGAGTACTATCATGTATAGCCTCCAACCTAATAGCGATGGCCTCCAACCTACTCTCTAGAAAGGGACTATCATGTACCAGCCCCCTCCAACAGGTGCTTCCTGGTGACAACAGGTGCCCAGAAACCACCTGTTAGGGTCTCCAAACAGCCTGTTGGAGGGTGCTGGTATATATTGTCTATGTCGGGTTGTGTCCTGGGCACGTAGCTGTGGCAAGTCGAAGCGCCGATAGATGGTGCAGCAAGCAATCAGCGTCCAAAGCAAGGCCTCGAAATCGCTCGACCAGTGGGCTGATTCTTGGGCCAAAGCGGAAAGCATACAAACGGAAGCGAGCTATGTAAACCCGTGATTTGTATCGGGTGGAACTGCAGAATGGGTGACAAATTGTCTATTTGATTGATACCAGGAACTGCCAGGATCAAGTCAAGTGAAGTTTTCCTTCCATGCTCAGCATGCCAAGAGGCCGTCACCAAGCGCAGCTGTGTGATCCGCAGATTCTCGGCACCTGAGAAAGGAAAGCGCAGTGGCGGATGGAAGATCAGAAGTCCGAACTCTGGCTGCGACATGGCTTGGCCGGGACATGGCTCAGCCAGACGTGGTTTGAATTGCGATCCTTGGCGATCCTGGGGCGACCCTGGGTCTTTTCAGGAACAGTTGGATGATGTTGGATGGTGGAATCCAACGCGATGGATCTGTTCAACTTCCACTCCTGTCTGCTCTTCGTGTCTGAAACGGGACTTCCACCCCTCTCTATGGCTACCAGTGGTCAACTGGGAGTCATGGTGAAGGCTTCCTCACCGCGTTTCAGACAGACCACCCTGAACACGGTCTGAAGGCATGAGGAAGCAAAATGACAGCTGAATGTCTAGAAGCTTCACTTGTTGTCAGGGAGGGCGTTGAACAAACATTCCAAGATATTCCAAGCCCAAACCAACACTGAGGCGCCCATCTTCTCGACGATGTACTCCTGGGCAGAGCTCCATTCCGATTTCCTCCTCTCAGAGCCTCGGTGGGTGGCTGGCGTCTTGTCGAGCTTAAGGATTGCTGTGTAATGAGAAAGCAAAGAAAACACATAGTTTTATATATATGGGGCCAAAAGTATGGGGAACAAACATCGAGGGAAACTCTCATCGAGTGTTTACTTGTGCATGGTGCTTATCAGGTGACGTAAATTGACGAGTGGCAATCACGAGTTTTGCAATTGTCTGTGGTACTTCTGGAATGACATGCTGACATGCTGACAGCTCGAATGATTCGAGGTGGCTTGAAGTGCATGGTCAAAGAGGGTTGAATTCATGGCCAAGCATGGATTATAAGTACAATCAGTTATTGGATTAACATGGATTAACCAATATTGATTTGAGTCCTCCTGATATGAAAAAACGGCCAGTCCAAGGCACTCTTTTCGGATCGACCCAAAGTCTCCAGAAGGCCCGGAAGCACCATGGGTTGACCAGGTCCGGGTATGTGAATGGATTGTTCAGTTTCAGGCCCTGTCTTGTGATGTTGATGCTGCGTACCTACAGGGCTGCTTCTTTGCTGACTGCAATTTGGGTGATGTGCATCCATGTTGAGTCGGTCGGAGGTCTTGACCGATCAGGAGATGGAGATAGTTGGGAGATTAAAAGAACATTAAGCTAACATGATGTCAAGCATGATACACAAATATGATCCAAACATGCCTGTTGCGCTCACTATTCCTGCGTGCTATGTTATTCCTACGTCAAGCGGCTGGGTCCCAGCTGCAGCGCCCAAATGTCCTTGCCCTTAAGTGGGACAGCCATGTCCATTTGATCCTTTTTGGACGCATTTATTGGACGCATTTATGTTTTTTTTTTCTGATCTTCCCGTTGCACACCCTGAGGGAATGACTGCCCAAGACAATGCGGTCATGTGTCTTTGAGTCAAAAAGGCCAATGAGAAATGACCTTGTTACAAACTAATACCGAATAGCTGCAAGAGGAAACACGTTGTAGCAAGCTACTGGCGTTTTCTCCACACCCATTACTGTAAAACCAAAAGTCGGACAAGGCTATGGAAAAGCTACAGTCGCAAGAAAAAAAACTGCCAGTGGAACTTGTATATTTCATTCAAGTGTGTGTGTGTGTGCCTCATCATCTTGAGACCAGGTTATGTCAACATGTTCACCGAACCCCACCAGCTGCTAAATCACAAATACAATCTGAACACCAACATGAAATCGTCCTCCCACAGCTTCTCATGCTTCTATGACCTGGACTGTGGGGCTTTGAATATAACGTAAGAGAAACCATATGGGAGGAAGTCTGAGAGGGCGGATGAGGGGGAAACCCCAAGAACTGGGGTTCACACTGGAAGCTTCGAGAAAAACGTCTGAGTCCTCCTTTGACCAGGCGCTTTGAGGGTTCGAGGTTGATTGACCAAGAAAAGGGAACACACCGAACACACGAGCTGCCGAGCATGTCGGCACCTGCGCAGGAGGGTCGTGTGCAACTGTGGCACTGGGCCTTGAAGATGCAGCGCCTCCAGGACATGGCATCCAAAAACAAGAAAACAAACGCGTTCTTCACCGAGGACGTTGTTCTTCAGTGTCTGGGGGATCGGGTCTGGTGGGCTGGTTGGGTGAGGAAATAACCCAGGGAAAGACCAGCGGCTGTTCGCCCCAACACACACCTCCAAACCATTGGCACATGACTCAGTTTATACATATTCTACGGATTGTCAAATTGTTCTGATAGGCAAATGACTCTACGGATTGTAGATAGGCAAATGACTCTACGGATTGTATACATGACATGACTCAGTTTATACGTATTTTACCTGCCAAATTCTGATCGTCTCACGGATGGTTCGGCCCTCCGGTCCCTGCCGCAGTGCGTGCCGCAGTGCGTGCCGTGGCCCTCCACACCTCCTTGGGCAAAGGACCAATCTCCACCTGAATGTCGGGGATGACAGGTGATTCAATGAACACCACAAAGCGATGTAAATGTGCGTATAGGAAGTGAGATATTAAACATATGTTGCCGTCAGTGAAGTGAATTCAAAATGTCTGACCCTTCAAGTCGCCCATTCAGATCTACTCTCCAAACACCAAGAGAAACCTGTCCAGGAACAAGGCCGAGAAGCTGACCTGTGATCATTCTCTTCACCTTTTGCCAAAGAAAGGGGACCTGATAAAAATCCATGAACATGCTATGGACTTTGGAGCAGTGATCTACCTAAAATGAGCACTGCAGTTCCCCATCGATGCCGGGATCGATCATCGATCCGATCATCGATTCACCTCCTTGGACATCTCTGTGGCGTTGCTTTCGTACCTCCGGCCAATCAAGTACGAACACAAGTATGAGAGGGCAAAACCCACCTCCTGGGCCTTTCGGCGAACAACATGTACATAACAGTTTGTTGCTTCTTTGACACGTGTTGCCGCAATTGTCACACACCAAGATGCGGAACATCTTTGCAGAAAGCTGTGAACAAATCGCTGTTTGCTGGTGGGTGAAGACCCCTGCAAAATGCAACACGTGTCGTGGGTTCAAACAACTGAAAAGCGCCGGGTGTAAAGAGTGTAGCTGCTTGCCTCCTCATCAGATGCTGGCCACGTACTGAAAGTATAGTCACTGTTTCATCAGAAACAAATGCCATGGGCGCAGAACTGCACAGTAATCGCAATGTACACAGTTGACTTTAGCAAATGACTCCCACCACCAGCGTCGCACCAAATGCTCACATGCCACAAGGCATGATAGCCACGTGCATGAGCTGCTTCGTCGTCTCGTAGGAGTGCCAAGGATGGCGCCTGAAGCAAGCAAAACACTGGGAACTGTGGTGATAGTGGTGATAATGCTCAGCAAAGTGGAGAAACCAATCCCAATAAAACTCAACAAAACAAGATCATGGGAGTGACAAACACCACTCTGCTACGGGGGTTAAAAGCTAAAAAGTTGATGGACTCCGTTGTTCATCTAACTGTCTAACTTTGGGATACTGTGTGGGCAGGGCGGAATTGATCACGCTTCTTTTCGAGCTCTGACATGATTTGCCAAACAAACAATGGTGGCAGGCACTGACAACACGTTGACAAAGAGCAATTTCTATGGTCAAAGAATGGTCAAGGACTTGCAAACTGGTTGCTACATGAAGGCTTGTGATGATTGGTTCATCCTGTCAGGGACCCAATAAACTTTGAATCTTGGAATCTTAGCAAGTGGAACACAGGTGCTTCTTTCTTTTAGTAGATTCCGTTCTTTTCCTCCTGAAGTCGACAGGATCAGCCAAATGTCTGCTCAGAATGTTCTTCTCACAGGGAAGTCTCGGGGAAGCAACTTAGGTTTCACCACTTTGGACGGATACATGTAAAAATAAGTCTTCATCCTACTGACAGGCTCTTTCTTCCCTCTCGAGCTCCACACCCTCCTTCAAATTCCAGGTTTTCCCATGTCACCACGAAGACCTCGACCGGCACCGTTCGGCGCTTTCGGCGCGCGGTCTCCGCCGAAAACCGTCGCCTCCGCATGGAAGGCATAATGGACCAACAACTCGCACTCCTGACGGGTGGGGAACACGGCGAGGCTCCGCATGGAAAACGGAACACGGGGGCAGGCGTTTTCCAAGCCCATCCAGGATGGAGGATGGAGGAGGCATCTTGAAACATCAATGGCACAATTCAACACCTATTAACATCTCCGTGTGGAGGCATCTTGAAACCTACCGACATCATCCAACATCTGGAGGAGATGCTCTGAATCGTCTTCACATATCTGATACCGTTGGTTGACACTCAAAGCTTGCTCTAATGTCCCCAATCCCAGCGGAGGCCCACCAGCCCGGAGGCCCGAAGCTCACCTCTTGGTGCAAGCATTTCACTGGAGGATCTCACTGCTATAGAGGAAATCCTCCCTAAGTTTGGGTCTCAAGGACTTCACTATTAGAGGCTGCCAGTTCCAGCCGCTAGAGGCTGCCGATAGAAGCTCACGCCGCGTGTCTCAAGTATTTGCACTTGTCGACCTAGCAAAGCACTGAACGCGTAACCCGTCCCTCCTCTTTCAGGCCATAGAGATTTCCTGAGTGCCAACGGAGTTCCATCGCGGCCGCCATCCGCGGATTCGCTGGGGCCACACCCGGTGCACAGGTGTGACCGGATGGTCACCCCATCGTGACCTACTTCATACAGTTTTCTTGGGAGGGATTTGCCGATTTGCCAAACCAGTGAGCTATCACCAAGGTTTTTCTTGGGAGGGAGCTATCCCAGCTAGGCCCACCAAGGTTCTCACCAATCTTCGACTCACCCGAGATCTTTGAGGATGGACCCGGATGTGTCCGTCGAGTCGTCGAGGGCCAAACACCCGGAAGCCTCCCTGGCAAGTGTCTCAGCCCCACGGGAGACGTGAAGTTAGATCCTGCCCGTGGGAGCGATGAAAACATCACAAAATCACTGGAGCGATGATGAGCGGTGTGGTCCACATGGCGCTTAGTTGCTTGGGAAAGGGGGCACGTCAGACTGTGAATCTGCAGAATCCTAGGATGGGACCATTGCCCCCAGCCTGAGACAGTGGATCTTACGGTGGTTGGCAGGTTGGCCTGTACTAAGAGTGATGATAAACAGCTCAATTCAGGAGCAGCCCCCAACATATCTCCCAGCTTCTATGAGCATTGCTATAGAATGTGGAAGGGTACTCTAGTCTTGTAGTATGATAATGTGGTATGACGTGGTTTGCCTATCTGCGGAAATGATGTGCAACAAAATATATACTCACCAAACGGTGCACTGAATTCATCCCCATCTGACCCGCCATGGGTATGGATTTGTCTGGTTAGGAACCAGGTGCCACTTGATATTTTTTGTATCAACATGACTCTGAGTATGGTGGCCCTACAAAATAGTAGTAGTCATACTACAAGACAAATGTGACGTGTTTCAACGGCATCTGCGGTTGATGAAAAAGATATTAATAACTACGAGTACAGTACAAAACCATTTGTCAAATGTCGTTGATGACTCTCCTCTAAGAAACAATGCCTTTTCATCAATAAATGCAAAAACTATTGCGCGCAGCATTGCAAAGCGGGCTAATTCCGCATCACCGGCAAAAAACAACACATGAATGAAAAGGGTCCTTTTGAGGGACCAACAGGACCAAACTAGGCCACTCAACCAGGCCTGCCTTTTTACAAGCCAGATGGTAAAGGTAGTGGCAAAAGCCGCACCCAGTGCGTGATTCTGGCTGCACTTGAAGCACAGCGCAGTCCTTGTCCAGACGGCGAAGGTGTTTGACTCTTCTGGGACATGAAGTTCATGACCTGAGACTCAGACGCAACAAAGCACTAGCAAACTCCCAGCTGACCTATTTGCTCATGCCGTATGCCATAGAGTTGATGCATCTCCCGCGTCGAAATGGCTATGAACCTGGAAACACATTCGGTGATGGTCACACCCCAAGTGGTGTCAGCACACCACTCTGGGGGCAGCCACTAAGACTAAGACTAAGATCGCCAAATATATAAGATTAGCGATTCAAAGTTCCAAGCATTTGCCCAAACGACGCACATTTATCCAACAATGTCATAAGGGACTATAATATAAAGGTTGCAATTTTTACACTCGAACAACCGTAGCCGCTGGGTCCTTCCCAAAATACAATACAGTAGTAAAAATCACTCTTTTCTTATCTTTTCTTGATGGCTACCCTGCTGGTATACGGTGGCATTGATCTGAGGGTGTTTCAGTACAGCAGCTTATCCACTACAGCTGACGTTTCAACTCATGAGCCCGGCTCCCCCTTGGGCCAAGTACGGTGGTAAACAGAAACCTCAGCAAGGCCCAGCAAGGAAGGCCCAGGCTCGTTGGCTCGTTGAAAAGAATGGATCCAACCCAGTGCCAGTTCCGAGCTTCTCAGTCTCTTGGACTCTCATTGAAGCATAGCCTATCCTCACGGCTGCCGTGTCCTTTGAGTCCTTTGTCTCCCTGAGAAGCAGGTCTGACATATTGAAAAAAAACATGAACATACATGATGCTTCAAGCACAGCTTTTCTCTTTGGATCTATTGGGCAAATGCATCCTGTTGCAGCTGGTCCTTGGACCATTCCGTTTGCTCCTTGGAGTCCTCTGTCAACACCTACAGTCTACAGCAGGTCTAAACCCAGGCAACAAAGAATGAATAGACCGGGTATGGAAGAAAGAACGTTTATACCAATTTAAACAAGGTTAACACATTTTTAAACAAAACGCTATGCCCTATGCACTGGCTAATTGTTTTTTTCTCTGAATCCTGCCATCACATCAGCTTTGCTTCGACTTGATAATTCTTGCATCATGGATCATGGAGCGGCTGCCGGATCTATTATTCTTGGAACATCTTCCAACCATGGTCAAAACCACTCACCTTGGCTACCAGGTCGTTTGAGATCGATTTGACAAGCAGGCACAAGAACGCGCAAGCGGGCGCAAGCGTTGATGGACGAGACGATCGACGATCGATACAAACCGGGTCAGCATGGCGTTCGCACCACCAGGACGCAGCAAAGAAAAGAGACCAGGTTCAGATCAGTGGAATCACTGGCGGAACCAAGATTGAGTAACAGTGAAAGTCACTATACATCACTATATCATTCACTGTATTACTTTTAGTTCGACCATATCATTCAATCGTTCTTGTGTAATGTAAAACGCTACGTAAACGTCCCATTGGGGCGGCCACAAATTCGTCAAAGCGCCAGACTTTGGGAACGGCAGACTTCCGGGATCGAATGAATATGGGGCTCTCGGTGACTCCGTGGAAAAGCGTGCAGTCTAAGCACATCTGGGTCACGTCCAACATCTGCAGTCTGCACGCCCACTGAGCTTCCGACACCTGCATCAAAAGACGACTGTTGAAAAAGCCTCCCGCGGCACGCACGCTCCGCAGCATCACAGAAGCGCTGCAGCTGGGAGCATGACACCACGAACTTTCTGAGGGAAAATACACCAAGTTGAGGTAAGGGGTAGAAACATAGATTCTATATAGGCTTCTCACCATTGCTAACAACGCCCCGCAAGCGCACTCCAACATGCATTCTAGCTAATCAGTCTTGCTTAGCAAATATCTGTGCACTGTAATGTCAGAACTCAAAGACAAGTGACAATGGACAACGGCGTCTCAAATTTTCAAACCACCCGAAACAGTTTGGCTCTATACTATAGTGGGATACGACTACTTTGGTCGCCAACAGCCAACCGCGCCTTGCTCCCCTTCTCCTTCATTTGGGGCCGGCACGTTGGCATCCGCCCCTTCAGCCATGGCCACAAGCAGTTTGGAATGAAGAGTCCCGTCCAAACAAGGCCGAAGAACGCATGGAACGCGTGCTTTGCTTGGAGACACTCAATGGACTCACAAGACCACACACCAAAAGGAAGCCACACGGAAGCCACACAAAGGAATGTGAAACAGTATGAGGAAATGTTCCATGGATCAAGTTACGAGAGGAACCAATGGGGTTCCGAATGTAACAGATGAGTTTTCATACATGCACCCCTTGAAACCCTTTGGATATTGGATACTCTGAAAGATAGCTGCCTCTGCCACAGTTTCATGTCTATCAGTCCTAATAGTATTGGAGAGGCTTTCACATGGTTTCCCTCCAAATGTAGGCTTGGGTCAGGTGAAAGCGAGCTTCGATGTAAATCCATCCCCTCTTTGTTTGGATGCCTGTATGAACTGGTCTCCCTCGCTCTCTGCTTGAGAATGCAAGCTGCGGAGCAATCGCATTGGTGGCTTCCACGGCAGTCGCTGGCCTAAAGTCCTGTTTTGTGTAGAATTAAGTAATTGCATGGTGTCGTGGTGTCTACTTTTGATAAAGGCTTTGAACATCCAAACATTTCCCCAGGAGATACACACCAAAGGTGATACATTCAATGCTCCTATAGCGGTTGCAAAAATGTGAAGCGGTGCAAGGACACACAAGGTAAACAATATTCCATTTCCCCTGCCTAGTGCTGAGTGCTGCGTCAAACACGGCCCAAGCCTTGACCGATTGAAAGTACAGATCTACCAGTCCGCAGTCCTATGCCAAGCGCACTCACCAACTCAAAATAAGGCTAACATTGGATCTTCACTTCCCATGTTGTTCTCTTAGGGGATCAGCCCTTTTTGGGAATGAGGGAATTGCCCTTACCCAAGCGTAGTTTGCTTCCACACAATTGTTCGTCTGGTCTCAGTTTCAGCTTTCAGCTTTCCAGCGACTCTTCCGTAAGCATTCCAAATGGAGGTTCAGAAACAAATCGTTGATTTGTGAAGCACTATATTATTGAAAACATGTGTGGTGTCAGTCAAGAGTCTAGAAGGCAAGCTGTGGCGATGGGATTCTCCGCGATTTGCTTTCGATCAACATGCATTCTTTGAAGGCTTGAATTCTGCAGAACCCCCCCTGGAGTGGGAGGTTTCTGCACCAGCTACACCCAACCTCACCCAAGTTGGGGCGACTGGTGCACTTGGCCAGGTGGCTGGGTTCTAGGCCCAGCCACCAAAGCCACCCTGAAATCACCATCCTGCGACATGGATCCATGAACACCACAAGGTGGTGTCAATCTCGTCATGCATCTGCTTTTGGGTACATCTCTTAGGAAGTGAACCAATTTTTGTAAGATGTTTAGCACATCTCATGAACCTTTGTCGGTTCCATCAACACCACCACCAGCCGGCGGATGCCCTTCATCTATAGTCATCGTCGTCTCTTCCTTCGTCTCGCCGATCACCAGACCCGTCTCTCCGATGACCCTCACGTGGATGCTACGCCCTGACGCGAGGAACCGTCGACCCAGCGAGGGTCAATCAGAACCCTTGTGAGGTATAGCAAATGGTCATCTATACTAGAGCCAAGTGACTCAGGTGTTCGCGCAATTTGTGCATAGATTACTTGTTAGTCTTGATCCTATAGGCTTGTCATCCAAAGGCTATTTTTTCAGGACTTACATGAGTCCTATGTCATGAGCCTTAGAACATGAACATTGAGCATGTTTGAGCACCTTGAAATGTTAACAATCATACAACAAAACAAACAAACATGATAAAACATGCATTTAAACACCACATGATTGAGTCAAAGCAACTGAATTCAAACATAAGCCAACAGTGATGATTGATCATACATGAACGTGTTCTTATAAAAATAATGGATCGTGATTTGTGTATAACTGAAGTGACATCAGTGTCAAACAGAAGCACAGTAAGCACGAGACCTATGTCATGCACATACAAGCCGCCCCTTTGATTTTCTACAAACCCATATGCGTTGGGTCGTTATCCAAAAAATATCCCCATGCCTATGACACGTTTACCTCTATCACTGTCTCATCCGGGGGTAGTATACTTGACATTACTTACTAGTACTAGTCGGCGACTGAAAACATTAATAGTTGTTGATTGGTATAAGGGGAAACAAACAACTTTCCTCACTGGTACAAGATACGACATCGTCCAATCCGCCATTCTTTTGGGTGAGGTTTTGCAAAGTCCGAACAGTATCTAGACAACGAGGGAACACCAAGTGACATAAACAATTGTGTACAGTACTGCACCGTTGTGGGTATTTGCTTATGATTCCAATCCGCTGCCACGCATCTCCTCCACTTGTAAACACAAAACACGTCTCATGAACACTTTAATCAATTCAAGATTGGTGGATTGGGGTCTCTATCCCCGAGAAATTCGGATCAAGAGACTTTGGGTCCTAGACCCATCTGGCTATAGCTGGGTATGGCTCCAAGGATGCCAAGCCAAAACCGGGTTCATGGACACAGCCGAACAGCCACAGCCGAAGAGCTCACAGCTAGCTACGGTTCTCACCGCCTTCACGTTCATCCTGTTCGAACTTCCGGTGCCATGGCCAACGCAGTGCTTCGGCATCGTTGACCCGGCGTACCAACACCTGGCCCATGGACGGATGGAGCATGATGGAAGATGGAACATCCTTCATGAAGAAAATTACCAGAATACTACCAGAAAGATGGTGATTTCCAAGGATGAAGGGAACATCAATAGGAAGCCTCCAAACCGACACTGTTCACACATTAATTAGAGTCGGTTTTTTGGAGATGTCCGCTATTTGCTCCCTGGGAATTGATGACTGAATGGGTATGAGCTGGAATATATAGCGAATGGTGGTTGGCAGGTGGATGCTGATTTCATCAATGATAAAGCGGCAGAGCAGTAATTGTGCGCTCATGAACACCATCGCTATATACATATCCTGGAATCATCTAGACTAGACTACATCAACATCCCTGGAAAAAAAATATATATAACATCAAACAAAGCTCCGCGGCTCCGCCAACAAACAACAAGCCTTCCAACCAGGTTAAATCTTAACATTGCTTCACCAACGCAACCTCTATTGTCGCAACTCGGGTCTCTCACCCACAACGGCCACCTGGTCACACATTCCTTCCGGGAGATGGAACTTCAAGAGGCGGTAGATGGCTAAGCGCCGGTTGCCCATGGTGTACCAATGGCCCTTGTGCCATCTGACCTTGGCAAGCTCGGGGAACGAGCAGGCTGGCACCAGCGACACCAAAAGATTTTAAGGACAGGACCAGGGTGGATGTATCAATATGGGGATGGGTCAGGTCACCAGCCCCCGCTCTGCTTGTTTGGAACAGCATCAACGACCTTCCAGTTCAGTCGTAAGGTCTCCTGGTGCCATGACCCATAGCATGAAAAGCAACTTTCAGTTATATCTATATATATATAGGGAGATGAACCACAGAAGGCTGTGAGTGGCTGGAAGCAGCGATGAACATTAATCTGCTTTGCTTCAGTACTAGTGATGTGGTTGGTAGCTTGGTATGTGCAGCCCTCGGGGGACATGCACAAGTCTGGCCTGAACTTGCCATGATATTGCACTTGCCAACGACAAACCGACATAGATCTAGAGCAATTGAATACTTCTCTTCTTGATGGAGTGCCTTCCGTGCTCTCCCTCGGGAGTTGCATACATAACATTGGTGAACATGTTGAGTTGCAGCACACCAGTTCTTCTACAGGTTGGCCTGGAGCTCGACAGGTTGGCCTGGTGCACTGTGTTACTTTGGTCTGAAACTCCAATCTTCTTCTCCACTTTACGAACCGACAAGACCATGGCTTCCAATCTCAACCCGCATGGCTCAAACCCTGACTTGAAATCTTCAAGCTTCAAGAAAAGACTGCCGTAGACAACTCCCTGTCCCTCCACCCAACTAGCCAAGAACCACACCAACACCCACATACACATAATAAAAACACCACTGCCACACTGCCAGTGCCACTCTGCCGCCGCGTCACTGGCAGCGGTTTCCCCATCTTGGCGAAGTCGCGCTTTTTCCGCTCCCCGGAAATCAAGCTTCGCACCGCCTCCTCGAGCGCCAGACCACTACGGAAGTGGCAGCTGATGGCCACGTGGCTGAAGCGTAGTTTAACCTGGGAAAGGCCAAGGGATGCCAAGGGCCAGAAAGGCCGGGCCAGGGGCCGTTGCAGGGCATGGCAGGGTGGTTGAAGGAATCAGTTTTGTCGTTGAGCTTTTGAGCCCGAGAGGGTGAGATTGTGCAGCGATCATGTTATAAGATCTAGATCCTCAGGTTTGAATTCTCGTAGGTGGCACAACAGCTTACAGCTACACCAGCTGCACATAGTTCCTCTAGTCTACATTTTATGGACTTTCAGGAAACCTCCTGGCAGTTCTTGAGAACATTCAAGATTGTGCCCTCAAACAAAACCTCCGGGCACCCAAGTAAGCCCCAGCAAGGCAATTCAACTGGACAAATTCTAATCCTGACACTGGTCCCTGGTGTTCTGGAGTCTTTTGCCCATCAAGCTCATGGTTATTCCTGGTTCACTCTGGCCCTCAGCTTGCTACCAGAACTGAGAAAATCTATACAAGAATGATGCTAAACCAAAAATCAAAAAAACACCAGCTTATGACTTCAGAAGGCATGGACCTACGACAAATTCTATAGGCCCCTTCTTTGGAACGGACGCTTTAAACACCAGCTCACCTTCAACAAATAGCTTTCTTTTTTTGTTGCTGTTCTTTGGATCATATCAATTTCTCCTGGACTCCGCTGGACGTCCATTCCAATTTCAGACAGGTATCGGGGTCGATCAGAAACGGCTCCTCTGGCTTGTGAGGGCAAAGACCTGACGAAAAGGCTGACACCGAACCGCCAGGCATCGCGACCGTTGTAGGGTGGGCTTCACCCTCAAATGCCGAGCAGCTAGTGATCCCACATATGATGGAGTATAGTAAACCAACATAGACTAATCTAAGTATTAATTGAAACAGGTCTAAAGGAGCAAACTGTCATCACTTCATCATCACCACAACCATAGTACACTGGCCTTCAGCAAATCAGCCCTGACCCTGTATCCCAGGAAGACTGAACCCTGGAAACCTGGTGGTCTTGACACCCAGTCATCATTAGGTCGTTTAATTTCCAGATCTCGATCTGGTATCCAGCACCAACCTGCAGAATGTCGTCTCCACCAAGCAACTTCTCGCGCGGGGGGAACAATCAGATAATCTGCATCCTCATAAGAAATCCCTGAACTATCTGCCCATCGCGTGAAAGACATCCCCATTCACCCAATCCCACGGGCGATCCCTTCGCCCCGGGCACCGTGCAGGCGTTGGCTGCGCGCTGCCAGGACCTTCGACTGGAAGAGACGCCACACGTCACGGGCTGCCGCCGAGATCGGCACCTGTGACCGCTAAGATGAGTCGCAGTGATCGTTTGATAGGTTGCTAGCCAGGGAAGCTCTAGTTTGTTTTTGTTAGTGGAGCCAATGGAGTGGTGTTCACATGTGTTCACATATCCACTGATCCGCCCAACCAGATTTGGCAGGTTTGAGACCCAGAACAATCCTATAGGGGCCACCTTGTGTCTTTGGCGAGATGTGTATGTAGAACTGGATACAAGCACATTCTCAAGGTGTTGTGCAAGGGCTATCCTGCTCTGAAAGGATTAAATTGCCGTTGCTATTGTGACGTCAATGGCTGGAATCTTCTCGGCGGTGTTTTCATATCTTTATAAAGCAGAAGGGGGAGAGAACTGCGGTCCTATGTATGAGGTTGGAACACAAAGGAACAACACAAACCCTAGGGCTCCAGTCGTACCTTTGTTTCGAAGGTGGGACTGGGGTGGGTCCGCAGAGGGTCCAGTCACACCTTCTGAGGATGTATGACTGCAGCCCTAGGAAAATAGAGTCCAAATATGTCCAGATCCCAGTAAGCCTTGTCAAGCTTTTCAGAAAAGCTGTGATATTAAAGACAAACTGGTCGGGAACATTTGGGAAACACTTTTCAGGAAGTCATTGATTCAAGCTTTGCAGGGATCGATAGTGTAACTTGTCCTAGCCAAGACTGGCCTCCAGCGCCCCATTCGCTACAGCTTCCACCGCGCTCAGCGCCCTCTGCGCGGCTTCTTTCTGAGCACAGTTGCCGCAGGTGGTGCGGCATTTGAGGAAGACCAAATATGCAGCAACTCCCATCAATCCTCGCAGTAATTAAGCAAACAGCATGAAATAATCAAGAGATGTTCATCCAAATTGGGACATTATTAGTAGGTTGTCCCACTTCAGCTACACGCCAAGCTTGCTCGACGCGGATTCGGCCCGTCTCTAGATCGCCGTCTCTGGAGCCTCTGAGAAACGACGAGGGCGAGTTAAACCCCTGCTAGCCTGTCTGAAAACGAGAAAAAACACATATTAAGCCTTACAACACTTATATAACCACTCTCTCTCTCTCTCTAGTTATTCCAAAAGCAACGCGTCTTTCATGGCGCCAATGCACATCTGACGTAACGCTCGCGAGAAAAAACTCGTGTGCACCAAGGCTTCAACTCTGTGTTTTGGTTCTTATAGGATCTCAGCACCAAGGCTTCTGCGCAGCCTTGGAATTCCGAAAAAAAATCACTGGCCGATGTTTGTCTCTTCGTTCATGTTCGATCATCGATTCCTCCGACCGGTCTTTGGTTTCACCCAGTCGGCTCGGCGGCCACGCTCCGTCCTTCGGGTTGCTCCGGCGCCGCTTTCGCGGCGGAGGCCCGGAAGAGTGCCTTTTCCAGATCCGCTCGCCAGGCACGGCACAAATGCACGCGGTTCCTGGATCGGCTCGGACCGGCGCAGGGGGGTTGGGCAGCAAGAGAGTGAACACGTATGGTGTATTCATGACCTGTATAATGTTTACGCTTGTGCCTGCACATGTTGATTTGCTTGGAATATCTGATGACACGTAGGCTGATATCCTATATATATATTGTATGAGGTACGATCAAAATATATTATCTGCTGCTGTTGCATCCTCAGATCTGTGAGTCCCCTATCGTCCACTTTTTTGAAACCTTGTTAGAGGGTTATGTTACGTTTGTTTTCTTCTTTTGTTCAGTCCCCTATCGTTTGCCGGGGTTTGGAGCATGCACGCATATGCATGCAACACTCTTATGCAACTTCTTATGCAATGGATTGCAAGGGTAACCATCTCAAATGTTGAAGGCACTTCATATGTTACATATCGAACGCGAAAATCTATGCGTTGTTCTACAAACAATTCGTTGATGCATGACCTGGACGTTGCAAACCCGAGAAAATGTATTTGTGCCTCACTGTTTGAGGAAAAAAACCAGCGACCCACTTCCCCCGGTTGGATCGTGTGCACTGTTTTTTTCATTAAAGCACACCTAACGCGCACCCAGGATTCATGAACCTCCCCTTATCAATCAAGCCCGGCTCGAGCCCCCAATACTAAACTATATAATTCAAAACCTAAATTTCCACATTGACATCCCCCAATATTTTTCATTGGAAGAAACCTCCCCCTATTAATCAAGCCCAGCTGCCCCCGGGAAAAAAAAACAAAAACAATTATAAACACATGGTTTATTTTAAATGATGTTGTTTGTTTGCGTCTTTTTCAGTTCGCCAATATCTTCCTATAGTCATCCATCATCAGGTCATCACCCTCATTAGGGGGATGGTGGTCTCCTATAATGACCTCCAATCTTAAACCTTGTTGGCCTTGAAGGGGGGCCGTCGATTGATCCGACATCGACATCAATTAGCTTGGCTCGGGAGTGCGATGCAGGTTCGAGTGATGGCTCTCTGGTCTGGTTGGTTTGGTTGTGCTTGTTGGGTTGTATTGTCTGGTTGCTTGCATGTTTACCCCACTTGCACTTTTCCGTTTTCCATGTTCATGCTTAATTGTTCATTCCCCGTTTTAGTAGTTCAGTGCTGACTGTCTCACTTCGCCTCAGGCAGCTTTGGCACAAAGGACATGAATCTTCTCCGAAGTCTACGACTCTTCTCCATTTGTGGGCGTCTGCGTGGTCTTGCATGAGTGTTGCAGTTGTTTGCAGATCTTTTGGTGAAAGTTTATAATAGCTTCGGTTTGATTGATATCCCAATGTAGCGATTGGGTTCTAGGAGCTTGCGGTACCGGTAGAAAAGTTCTGAATTCTGAAGATCAACAGGCAACAACAACATCCACGAGAATGTTCCAGGACAGTAGGAGGAATTGTTAGGTACAGATCATGGATGGTAGATATGTTTTGTGTATTTTTGTGTATGTTTTGTTGTTAATCCTTTGCTTGGCTACACCAACATGGCGCGGAACCATGGTTGCAACGCTTTTGTGCATCGGAGCTTCTGTATGCGCTGCTTCTGCTCATAGAACTCATCCGACCTAGTCGCACAAGGACATGCAGCAGCAGTTCAGAGTAATCTGGAAAACACTCCGCCAAATCAACCAACTATGAACCCAACGAAAGAATCAAACAGCCAGTCAAAAAATCACCCATCCAACCACCCAACCATCTCTACTGTGAACAACACATCTTCATTCTTAATCAACAAATGTCCATACCCGAGTCTCTTGCCAAGCCTATTTAGACCCCCCAACAAAATAAACTAAACAGAAAAAAACAAAAACTTGAAAACTATCAAACACACCCTTTCCACTCTCAACACGTCCCTCGACTCTCAACTCTGCTTTTGGACTACTCAGTTTGAAGCCTAAGCATCCTGAAGCATCTTGAGCCCTTTGATCACCTAGGCACAGTTTCACCACCGCCAACACAGCCTCCTTGAGCTGCACAAAGCTCCACGCAGCCAAGTCCAGCTGATCTGCCGAGAGGAACTCTGCCTGCACGTTCGGCATGGCGCGTTTGGTCAAGGCAGTCGGGCAGGGTTCGGGCGGCAGGTAGATCCGTTTGGGCGCAAGTACCTCTCTCAGGAGAAAAAACATGGGGATTATATAGAGTTGATTAGAGGCTGGCAGTGTGCGAGGATCTTCAGCCCGAAAGGCCATTCATAGAACATGGTATGTGGTTCTTATTGACTTGATATTCCATGATATTCCCTTTGAGCTAACTTCTAGCTTGGGAGCACCCGTTACTGGTGCCCGTTGAAGTTAATACATTTTGCATGTGGGATACTAAACCACCATGGAACGCCGATTTGCAAAAGTCAGTACTTAAGTCAAGACTGCTGGCCTTCCCCATTGTAAACGCTACATACAGAACAAGGTTCTCCAGATTCACCTTTCCAAAAAGAGAAAACTTCAACTGCAAATCCCAATGGCAATGCAATTTGGAGAGCTACCCGACGTGGTAACTTACCCCATCACACATGAACTTGACCCACCCCCATGGCACACCGCTTACCCCACGAATGTAAGAACTTGCCCCAATTGGACAAAATGGCACACCGCTTCGAAACAAGCACTTTTTCTCCTAGATTGTTTCTAAACCTACACTATTCCATTGCGATTCGACCTTCTACATGTTGATGTGTTCAAAGGTTATCTATGGGTTGCCGTGATCCAATCCCCATGGCACCCCGATTCTGACCCACATGTTAGTGTGCCCGCTTCACAGCGGAAGCCAGGTTTCCACGAGGACCCTGCTTCCGAGGGTTGGCCCTATAAGCCCTTGGAGGGTTGGACATATGAGACCCACAATCCCAAGATGAAGGGGAACCTATGGGCTGCCTATAGAAACCTCTAGAAACAACCTATGGGTTGCCTGCCAACTTCCTTGCGGTAGGTCTTGTGCAATCAAAACACTGTCAACGCTGAGTAAAACAAGCCCATTGAATAAAACCATGCATTTAGAAAACATCTTCCAACACACTCTATCCTGCAAGGAAACGCTATAGTGTATCGACTTCCTGGTTTGCTCATCACCTTCTATCTGCTATTTGAAAAAAAAACACGTCTCGACTTCAACAACTGGCAGTATATACCTTGTGGGTTCTGGATCTGGCTGCGGAGCCAAGGACCCTGCAACTAGAAATCGAACTTCCTGCACTTGACCGCAAATTTCTGGCCATGCTTCCCCCAAGACCTATGCTTGCACCTTCATCCATTCCATCGAACCCAAACATCCATCCAAAGCGAGAAAATTGGCCAACCTCAGAACCTTCCGTCTTCGGCACCTCCTCGCAGCTGGGAAACTTCCGTTGGCTCCGGAAGAGCTGTCCGCAGGCTCTCTGGGAGGTGCGGCTGCGCTTGGAGCCGTGGTCCGACCAGTCGGGACGCTCCACGTCCTTGAGATCCTGGCAGTGAAGCGGTGAGGCGGAGAGCTGAGCTGCTGCGGAGACATCCGTGGTGAGCGGCTGAGCAGTTGCTTGTTGAAAGGGTGAAGAAACACACAAAGGATCAAAGGATCTCATCATATCATAATATAGATATAGAGTATCATTTAATATCAATAACAATAAGTAACTTTAAAGTATCCTAAGTATACAATATGCAAGAAAACACAGTGATATGTGACCAAATGAGAGTCATTGATTTCCCTTTCGAATGGATGGCGATATATGTCCATATGTCCAAAGGCTTTGGAGTCTTAGCGCTCTGCAGTACCATAGTAAGCCCAGAAAACCAGGGAACCAGGTATCAAAAATATCAAAGACACTCCAACAACCTCTCTGGAGGTGTCTGTAGACTTGCTGGTAGTTGGCGTGTGGTGGACCTAATGTGACGAGAAGAGCCAAATCCCCAGCAGGAAAATTACCCAACCGATGTTGCATGATTTCAGGATCGAACGCTCAATTCCACCATGTTATACATTTACTGCAGTTTATGCCCTTTCCAAACAGGCGACTTGACAACCCTAACGGAACATGGTCGTACTTGAAGGCAATGAAATCTCTTGAAATGTGACGGGAATTTTAAAATATAGTTGCGTGGCTGCGGATTAACAAAAACAACTACAAATCACATCTGGAAAAAAGATGTCCTTACCTAAGAATACCCCTGAGAACCCGCGCCTCAGGCAGGACGATGGTGCGGCCATTGGAGGCGCAATCCACACCCGCTTTGCCTGGACGCCACATAGAAGGATGGAACAGGCAAGGGAAACCAGTATAACGCATCAAATTGGGGCCACAGGACGTAGTAGAATTCCTATATGAGTTGATGAACTGGTACAATTTGTCTCCTTTGAAGTTTACTCGAGATTCAGGGCCTTTGAACTCACTTTTTGACGCCAAGCTTCATATTGATGCCAAGCGCGTAGCCGGAGCGTTTTCCCCGAAGCCATCTTGGTCTGCCCAATCCCTGGCAACACACAACTCATTCTGAGAAGATCCTGCTCTCATCCGGGGTGCAGCAGTGCAAAACAAGGCTCTTGCCTTAAGCCTTGCCGAGGCTGATTGTCCAGCTACCCAGTATCTTAGCAGTTGATCTGTACATTTCTTAGGATCTCACATATCAACTCAATACTGACTATGTTGCTGACGTGCGTGGCACCTCCTCTTCTTGTCGACCAAGCAGAACTCCTGATGAGCCTTGGCCGTGAGAGGCAGCTCAAACGCCAAGCATCCTCGCGCGACGTTGGATCGGACAAAAGCTTGTTGAAAGGGGCCTTTTGGCACATGATCAGGTACCATTGGTAAAAGGACAAACCTCTAAAAGGATCACCCACCAAAGTGTGCATGAGTGGTACTTTTGGGCTGATCACGCTCAAAATTCCAACAAATGGTTTGTCCTGGCACCCTCTAAAAAGCATTCGCTCAAGCCATAATCCCTGGGGATCCAAGTACCTTCTCAGAAGGTATTGGGACCCTCGAAACCTACATGACAGTGTCTCCAATCACTTTCTGAGAAGGTACTTGGATCCCTAGGGCCCTAGGGAATGCCAGCTGAGCCCAATACCAATGTTTGGTCCTGGTCCTAGGGCAACGCCTGGCCGCCAATCCTATGTGCGGATGAAGGACATGCATGTATTTGAGGGGATGTTTCATGTGTTCTCGTGTCTGTTGGCTAGGTCTGAGTCTACTTGATCCATCCTCAAATCCGAGTCCTGGGAGGCCAGGTTCCCGTAGAAATCAGAACCTGATGGGAATGATATGGAATGATATGGAATGATGGGTTTGACTATTATAGATGTCTTTCCGCTTGCTTAGACCAACAACAGAAAAACCCACCATCAAAACTTGCCTCAAATCCCGAATACAGTCTTTGGAAATGTTTTTGGCAACAACAGCAGGAGCCGTTCGGCACCGGCACTCTGTCCAACATTGGCTCAGTCCTGGCAGTCTCTCTGGCTCCACTTCACCGACCTTCTGCAAAGTGCGCTGCCTTGGTTTTGGACGTGCGCACAGGAACACAGCTGCACAGTGTGGCTTTGGGACGTTGTCTTTCTTGTGCTTTCGTAGATCGAAGCCACCTTCTGTGTTCTTGGTTCCTTCTCTTGAGCAACACATTTGATGTCAACAGCATCATCCTGCATCATCCACATACTATAAATTCCACAAGACAGGTTAACAGCAATATGACTCGACCCATCGCTTACCCCTCGACCCCTCGACCCATCTTGTCTTCCGAACATGGAGGATTACACCAGCGACCTCTCGGCGTCTCCGCCTCGCTCTCCAAGCGTCTCCGTCTCCGCCTCCCGCACGCAGGACTCGGTGGTCGCCACCGCGGCGACGAAGTCGGCGTCCCAAATCCTGAGCGGTGTCCAATGGCTCCAACTGCCGTGTCGAAACGGTGGATCCCAACGGCTGTCCGAAGCTGTCCGTTCAGGTGTTTTTGTTCAAAGTCACTGTGAAAGAACATTCCATGTTCCAAAACAGTCTATTTAGCAGACCAAGATGGTTCAATCTGGGCTGGAATTGACGACCTAAGAACAGATGTGATTTGATCAGCTGTAAGATCGTCCATCGTCCATAACGATCGGTCTCGGCCAGGTCTCAGGAGCACCGTGTCGCCGTCGTGATCGCCGCCCATGACTTCAGCATCTGCCGGCGCCCCCGGGCCCGGGTCTTCGGCATCGGTGTTGCCTCGATCTTCCCAGGCGTTCAAGACCACCACATTGTAGAGGTGCTGAAGTCCTTATCGGATAACAGCAGTGAATCAGCCAAGTTGATTGCGATTGCACCATGGAGATGGACATGTCAAAACAGTTTCCAAGGAAACAAGTATTAATTGAAATCAAGGCAACCAAACCAAACAAAAACACAATGATCTCAGGCAGTCACTGGATCCATACACTTCATTGGTCAGTCAAAGGGCACTTCAATGAGACTCTGAGACCTTCTACTTACTGTAGAACATGTCCACACGCAAGTCACCGTAGAATGTGTATGTGTGTTAATATGTACAAGTATACAGTGTTTATAATACGTCCACACTGATTTGTTTGTGTGCACATCACCCATCCATAACTTGCCGCTTGATCGCGCGGCGGAGCTTTCTCGGGGATGCGCAGCTTCAGAACGGAGCTGCTATGATAGCATGGGGCTCTGATCAAAAGCACCTCCTTCCCTGCAGCCAATAAACAGGGCTCAGATTCCCGTATGCATGGACTCATTCTGAAAGCGACCAATTCGGATTAGAAGATACTTAAATTGATCTAATTAATCTCAATTAGACCTTGATGATATTCCATTAAGTCAAGTGCGTCAAATGCTTTTTCCAATGTGAGAAACTCCTCGCACGTGCGAGCTTTAGGCTGAAGAACAAAATACCTTCGCTTGCTTCCACCCTGCAGGCTTCACACATATCTTCACACAAATGCCAACTGCGCCTGCCAAATCAACTTTTTGGCTGTGGGGCAGCTGCAAAAAGCATTCCCCTTGGCGTAAGTCACCTAGAAGCCGACCAGGCAAATCTGAAAATGCCACCAGGTTGAAAAATGTTAAAAGAATCAATGAGGTAGCCGTTTGGTTCAGTGCCACAGCCGTACCAATTGGTACCAACAAACATGTATCTCGATGTGAGCATGAGTTTCCCACTTGGATTGTGAAGCATCTCAAAGACGACTCACTCCTTTTGGACCGCCTTCGAATCATCAAGAGTGGGAACCCGTGTCAAGACCATTTGACTTGATGTCCTGCTCCAGCTTTGGTCTTTGGGCACTCCAGTTTGAAAAAGCAACAGATATGACATGGTGTACCAAAAGATCGTAGCGGCTCTTGGACTCTGCACCGACACTGGAACAGTAGAAACTGATGGTCATTGAGGATATATTAAGCACATAAACACTTCTGCTTATATGTTCCTGAGAATGAACACCCTGTCAATTTGGCGCAACTGTTTCCTGCAATACTAACCGCATCTATATAACCGCTAAAATATGCTAAAGCAACTGAAGAAAAAATCTGACCCATTCTTCAACTTGAGGTACCCGCAAAAAGGAATGACTTGACATATTTTGACCCATTTGCCTCCTGATCTTGGCCCCTACAACACGTGTGAAATCTACCACTCGGTGTGTGTGCCCAGTCCTTTTTCTGCACTGTCCAGGCACGCCCATGGTCTGCCACGATCCATGCGCGTCGCGCGTCGCGCAAGGGCAACTTCAGCTTCTCACAGGCTGCGGACCGCAGTTGAGCACAGGCCTGGGTTGGGCATATGGTGAAACTCAGGGAAGTCCCCAAAAAGACGAATTGAAACACCTTAAGCGATGGTACACCTGCTTAACTTTAATCCTATCAGGTTTCATCCATTTTCATCCCTTCTTTAAAAACTTACTATAATATGTCGTATGCGAAACTTGGTTTGGAGATCTATGGAGATCTCTTCCATCAACCCCCCCAAAAGAAACAATGAACAAATCATCGCCACCAATCGCTCGCCCACACGGAGCACTGCATGCCGCTGGAGGAGCTCGGTGTCGCAGCTCTTGGAAGTTCACCTCATTCCTCGGTGCCGAGCGCCCAGCGCCAACCCACCGCATCCAACGGGTTCTTGCGAGCAACAACCGACGGGTCCTCGGAGGAGGGATGAAGCGGATAAGCGGACGTGTTGTTTAATTTGCATGTGTTTGTCATTCAACAAAAATAGAAACTATATGAAACTGTGCTTCATCATCCAGGGTCTTTGTTTGTTGTTTTGTAATGCTTGTGAATAATGATATGCTTGATCATCCAAGTAGAGAGGGTGATTTCTCAAGGATCTACATTACCAGGTTCCAAATAAACCTGATGGAACAGTCACACAGGCGTAGTATCAAGTGGCAAGTAAGTAAGGGAGCTTGGTGTTTGATGAGTTAACATCTTCTATGTACAGGTATGTCTCGCTGCTTCCGACATAGTCCCTTGCGTATTGAACCAGTCTTGAGCAAAGGTCAGGGAAAGGTCATATGTTTTTTCACCCCTCTGTAGGGCGGATGGCACGTGCATGGGATCAGACAATCTCGACCCCTGGGATATCCAAGAAAGTCTATTTCAGCTAACCACCTCCAATGTTGCTTCCAGCGCCACTGGCAGATAAACAATTGACCATCTGTAATCTGCGTATGTAATGATATAAAGTCCCCACCTGGTTGTTTTCTGTCTGAAAGCATGGAAACCCTGCAGCTCCACAATGCACACCGAATCGGCCTTGTCCCGGAACAAATCTCCCAACACATACCTGATGATGAACACTGAAGTCAATCACTGGTCTGTAGAACACACCATTTTCCTTACTTCCACCGTGTTTGCAGAAGACTCCGCGTCCAACTAGTACCAACCATCTGGTGGAATATGTCATCCGCTGCTTGCGTTGCGAAGGAGGAGGCCTGCAGTTTCACAGCACCTGATTACCATGAGAAAAAACACAAGCACTCACTACCAGCACCACCCAAAGGGTGCTTGTCTAGATGTATTTTTGATTGGACTGTCGGACAGCCTGATGCCAGAGACTCAGTCCACCACGCGGAAATATATATATATATTATATATATATATGTTGGTCCACCAGAACATGCGGATCAAGCGACCATGGGAACTCCAAGTCCAAGTAGTCGCGAAGAGCTTTCTCCTAATCTGGGTCGGTCCCGACCAGCTTGCGTCTTCACAGTCAGTGCATCGGGGTGCATCCCTTGCGAGCGTAAAGTATCACATTGGTCCCAAGAGCTCGCGGACTTAAACTGTTCTGTAAAGGATGTGCATCATATGGAGAGCGAATGATCATTGTGGTGATTCCATCACACTCACCCTATCGGAGATTCAATCATATATAAAGGAAGAATCTGTGCAGTGACCAAAAACTATAGTGCCAATGTCTACACACCCAAATGGAGTCAGCGTGAACTTAGCTTCCAAGTAATGCTATTTGCATGCTTCATCAGCCTTCCTGCAAAGCCAAAATTGAAACATGTATATATATATATAGCAGTATGCGTTCCAACTACTGGTTGGTGCGACTATCAAAGAATGACAACATGTTCTCAAGAGTCCCCCTACCCAGAAGTATGATCATTCTCTACGAAGCACTGCATAAGTGCATTGCTTAACCGGAATGCCCATCCGTGGCTTGTACCAATTCATCCACAACTGAGCTACTTCCAAAACCTCCAAATGGCTGGTTCAGCAGGGGGCTTACAAAAATTGCAGTTTAATTGAGGCCTAAGACGGCATAGTCTAATTACCAGGTGAAAACCTGTAGCTGAACTAGCTCAAGTCCCGTCCGCTTGAGGTTGCCAGGTTTCCACTGCAGGCTTGAGCATAGCTCGGCTCATGATCTCGTCCAAGGCTTCACGGCCCTGCTGTTCCTGGCGGTCGTCATGCAACCACCGACAGGTCGTGCGTCGTCGCCGACAGGTCGTCGCTTTAAACGGCTTTCAACACAAAAAGAACACGGCTGGTGCGAGAATACTTCTTCACGGAAGGAACTTTCAGAACTGGGGAAGAAACTGGGGAAGACTGAGTTGAGAAACATGTACGAATTGGCACATATGTGTGCCGTCCTCTCCGTGAAAGACCTGCTCCAAGGTATCCAGCAGCTGCTTCTGCTTCTCCATGAAGAGTTCTGGCGGTGCACCTGAGATTGTTCAGAAAACATCACAACAGCTTTGTCAGAACGAGCGATGGATTCAAGAAAAGTGTAAGCAAACTGCTTATGTTCAAGAAGGACGTACTGCTTCAAAACATGTTCAGCTCATCGGTGAACTCTGCGCCGCTTTCTTGAGACGCTTTCTTGAGTCCCCATGCACTAAGCTTGGCACCAAGGCATTCCAAGGCCTGAATGGAGTTGGGTGTCAAATAGCCTCGGAAAGCAGCATACCGACGGGCCGAAGCTTGCCAGGGACTCCCCTGCAGCAAGTGAAACTGGACCCAGAACTGGAACGGACTGGAGCCATTGAAGCATTTGCATGCATCGCGCCAATGGTTGCTAAACCACATACACAAACAACCTCTAGTTACTCCACCCCCAAGAAATGGCATGGAAGACGGTGCTCCATCTGGGTGCTAATTTACCTGGAAGAATAAGCAGAATGAACAGTTATGGTGAACTACAATGTCCAAAAAACGAGGATCTGCTGACATGAAACACTACAGGTGGCCAACAGCCAGTTCACGAAAAGATTTTGGAAATATTCCACGTTTGGCTCAACCTGTCAATTGCACTTCCAAGATTTCCCAGGCTTTACTGATTCCAGGAATGTGTACAGGGCTCATCCATGTCCTAGTACACCGGCAGTACCCCGCGCTGTTTACTTTATCACTTATGGACATGTTATACTTCCCCGGTCATTTGAAGCACCCTGCCCCTCAGCAGCGGCTCAACAACATGAATCAACTGTTGCAGCAAAATCAGCAGGTTTTGGCTTATTGGGGGGGTGTATCGGTGTATCCTAATTACATGTTTGAACCCTCCTGGGCCCGTGGGAAAGTACTTGCGCAAACCCAGCAACTTGTGTCAACAGTGTCGGTCCAAGTGGCTTTGCAGCGGCTTGCTGGAGGTTCGTAGCACTTCGAAGTCGAACACATCCTGGGGTTCCTGAGCTGCCAGGGCTGCCAGGGTTGAGTGGCAAGGGCGGCAAGGGAGAAACGCCACTTCGAAGTCTCGGTCAAAGAGACACAAAACTTTGTGAACACAAAACTGAGCATCCAAACAACACAACAAACACATGTCAAATCTCATGCTGAAGTTCTGGACATATTCCACCTTTCTGTCTTTTCAAGTTGATGCTTCACAGTATAATTGCTTCACCATCTGTCCAAGCTACTTTCTACGCCGAGACTCATCGAGCTGATACTTCTCTTGTGACTTTCGGACAATCAAATCCACCTTTTGATCCTCATCCACCACCCACAGCCTTGGCGTGGCGGAGAACGGGTTTGGTGTCAACGCTTTCCTTCAGTCAGGACTCTCAAAGCAATGCCAACTCCGAAGCCTTCGCTCATGGCTACCTACAACGCAGAAAATGTTTGCCGCTGCTCAAAGGATGGTCCAAACTTCATCGATTTGAAGTCATGGTTCCAATCTGACTCTCCTTTTGTGAGTACCTCTGTGTATGTGTTTTTGAACGTTTACATGTTTTGCTCTGGAGTGGCTCTTTCGAAGGGTACAAAGGGTTGCAACATGTTGGGACCTGGGCGTAGAAAACAAAGGATGCCATGGACCCAACCAAGTGGCCCCTTGAAGGGTCCACATCGCGCTTGGAAGACGCTGGGTACCTCCTCAAACCCCAGCTTGGCTGCACATTCTTCCGCCGCCCATCGAGAGATGCAGCCACAGCCATCGGAGAGACAAAAGGTGCCAGAGGCGTCCCTGTCAAGCAAACAATTTGGAGATACACCGGCCGGATGTTCAGAAAACATCAAAGGAAGCCAATACTTCAAACATTGTCATGTAGAGATAACACAACGGAAACATCACAAGGTTGCCCACTTAAAGCCGCTGCAACATCAAGTGCAAAAAAAAGGCTAAGCAACCTATACGGTCTAGTAGCATCTCTGGGAAGGAGTGTGATCTAAGCCATCTGAGGAACTGTGCTCGCTTCCACTGGAGCACCCTTAAATCATCTTAAATCCATATTCTGGCCGCATCAATTATCCGGTGCTTCGCCGAGCCACCACATATCATCTTTGGGACAAACCTTCAGCTGGACTTCAGTTCTTGTCTCCTCACTTCGGCGCAACACATGACGTCGCGAGGTGCAACACATGATGTCGCGACGACGTCGCGTCACACGCCACACGCACAACTGCCTGCGATTAGCATACCATCCCTAGAGGTCCAACTACATTACATCCTCTGGTACTTAGACCGGCCAGTCATACTGAACAGAGCCTTCTCACATATCCCTCGCCCGGGAACTGCGCACCAACTCAAGGGTTTGGGTGTCTACTACACATATCCCTCGTCCTTCCTCGCTGGACGTGCCCGGGCTCAGGATCAGTACTTGCACGGGTTCAGGCACAAACATGTAGTTCAAAAAGGCTATGCGCAAACAGTTGCAAATACTACGCGGCTGAAGCAGGGTTTGATGTAATTACCGGTACAAAATTCCTGACCTTGGGTTTATGTACTTCAGCCAAGCTTCTGAGAAGGAGAGTTGCAGCCGCTGGTTGTACTTCAAGAGTGACATGTTGGCCTCAGCACACAGTCTGATCCTACCGCGTGTTTTATTTTGAGACACATCATCTGTAGGAGGGGGTGACCAAATACATATATATATATATACACATGTCATATATATATATACACCGCCTAACAAGTATCCTTCGAGTTTGAGGAAGCGTTTGTGGGTGAATATGTGTTTGCCTCGTACGCGCCATCAAAGGTCTGGATCATTGGACGAGTTGGCGATGAGGTTTGGTTCGATGAGATCGAAAACGATGTATTATTTTGGCGTGGAAGGCACTTGTAAGACAAAATTGTTTTATCTATTTATCTAAATCTATATATGTTATCCGTATACTTCCAGGTGTTTTGTTGTCAACTTGTGCACAACTATCACCTTTCCACAAAAATCCAAGACTAAGTTTTGAGAAGATGGACCCTGAAATGAACCCCTTCTGCATATCTAAGTCCTCTCAATACTGCAGAATCATATGAGGTCTTCTAAATCTTCTGATAGAGGGGAACATAGATACCCCAGTCACGCGATGGACCTCCCACCATGGCTGTCCATCCACGGGGCATTGGCTGCCAAAGGCACCAAACGATTCATCAAGTCCTCATCACAGAAGGAACAACGCGGGCTGGTGTCAAGAAGCACCATGATAGACCCAAGACCTTCTCACTGCACTTGGTCCCCTCATATATCTGGGGTCATGGCACCATACCGACCGGTTGACCTATCTGGTGGCAAAACTTCATTCGCTTGCAAATCCTGGTGGACGTTTTTGGGGTTCCACGGGACCCATCCCCATAGCACAACAATGTCAAGGGCTCCAACCATATCCTCAGGTTCGGTGGTTAGACCCCCCTGGCACCCACCCCAACTACCGAACCTGGGGATGTGGTTGGAGCCCTAGGGAATGTCAAGGGCCCATCCCCTTTTCCCTCGAACCAATTCGTTTTACACTCTGACTCACTAACATGGAAGTGGAAAATGGCCTTACTTTCCTTTACAAACAGTGGGTTTTCCACTTCCATGTTAGTGAGTTGGAGTGTAGTTCAGTTCCAGTGATTGGACTGGTCGGTCGAGCTCCTGGACTTGCAATTGCTCCAGGCCATCACCTGCCTCCGCAAAGTAGGTCACCTGCATTCTCCACCAAGAACGACGCCACACATGGGAGGTTTTAGAAATTCGTTTGAAAGGGGTGACTCTAGGCAAGCAATACTGGGCAGATCCAATGAGTACATCATCAATCGTGGAACTCACCATGCACACACACACACACACCATGCGCAATCTGTGGCACTGGAAGCACGGCTGGAAGAGCCAAGTGACATGTTGCTTGGCCAGGAATGCAAACTCTTGATTAATGACCCCCCCCACATGAACAGGTTCTTCAAGGTCGATCTAAATGGTGGTCTCGTCGACGGCCTGATCGGGCAAACGCCAGAAGAGAAGCCGATAGGAGCGTCCCAGGAAGTGGAACTGCACCCGCGGCGGGTCTTTGCTCCTGGCGAGAAGAAATGGTCTTGTTGCCGTTGGAACATGTACAGTAGCATGCAAAAGGGTCTTTGCAACATTGCAAGTGTTATTGTCGGATGTGTGTTTTGTGAGTGTGACTGACCCCGTGGGATGACCTCTGGGGGTCATCCATATTTATATTGGTAGACCCCCTGGTGAAGGGAAAAAGTCCTACTTGGGCCAGGGTCTTCCTGATTCAATCCACACACAACCCCCAAGATATATATTTATATCGTATATTATATTTATATAGTTGGGTCGAGCAAGTTCATCCAAATCTATGTCCATCACTGGAGTGAGCAAATCACCAACTTGTCTATGTTGATTGCTTGGGCGGTCGCTGGTGAGTCGAATTCATCCGTCCGATTCACTCAACAATTGTTTTCTTTGAGTGTGGTTGTTCAGTTGGTCCGAGATCTTTTCGGACATGTCACTGCCTGTGCGTAGAAGACGGCGAGGCTGCCCCAATTTGCCAAACCACAAGACCCACGCCAAGCAACCAGGGAACATTGGGCTCCAATGCCATCTGTGCGTGACAATATATAGATAATTATGCATCGATCAGCATCGTTTCTTGACTGAACAAGAGTGATGCTATAGTTTGTTCAGCCGCAAGTAGAAACAACATATACAGTATGTGGATGTATGTGGTATCCAGTCGCGGCATGGCCCTGCCGTGATTCGGACCTCGATTGGGGACACCAAGTTGATCCCAAGCAAGTTTACTAAAACATACACCCAAATGATTGATTGCATACTGCAACACAACACGCTATATATAGACCATATCAGGGCCCCCCAAGGAGTGTCTAACAACAGCCTCTTAGCCCTTAGAGGTTAAACCGGTGTCCGTCAACCACCCCAAACCGGGGGTCCCTGGTCTGGGCTCAAAATTATACCCATGGATACCCATGGTATCAGTCTGGGGAAGAGCTTTAGTCCTCCGATGTGCTCCCATCAGCCAAGTGTAAGTGTGACACCTACCCCTGACTGCCTTGGAATGGCCCAAATGACTGGGGCCTTCCAACGCGGATGGTCATGAAGCGGTGCTGCTGAAAGATGCCTTGGATGTGGGACACGCGGCACCAGAAATGATGCCCCAAGCAATAAACGAACGTTCAAAACGGTGTGCTCCCTGAGAAGGGCATTGCCTTTGGACAGGTGAGTATAACCATTGACACAAGCTCATGTCCATCAGCACTTAACGGGAGTAGCATATGGACCAGTGCTCACATCAATGTTTGACCAGCTACTACTCTTCTTTTGGACATAGAATCTGGTCCGCACGTTTCCATTGTCACCAACAAGATGCGGCCTGCACGGCTGTTCTTAGCCGGGCTAGGAGGATGAAGTGTATGGCTCTCCTCGTCTGGATATCCCTTTGCTTCCTCGGACAAACACGACAGCACAGGTGTTGCATTGTCATCCATTCATGGGCAGGTGCACTTGATTGTGAACACCAAGTAAATTTAGCCAACAAACTTCTATTGTGCCTGTTTCAACTAGGTATATACAGTAATTGTATATATATAATATCATATCTTGAGTTCTTGAGTCTGCATCATCCGCTTTACATGGGGATTTGAACCATTTGCACCAAGGCGGTGTCGGACTTTAAACAGTTCTCCAAATTGTCTGGCCACTCTTCGACCTCCGTGTCACGATCAAGCACATACAAATACAAAGAATCACGTATTGAGGTAATGTAGACTCTTTATTATATGTCAACTCCCCATATGAGGAGGTTCTACAATCCATGTCAGTTCTTTTTGCATTAAACACGGTATCCGACTGTCAGCCGCAAATAAGATCTGTCTTACAAAGCAATGTCGCTGTCAAACAATCCAGTCGGGAGCACTCCCGCCGTATGACAAAACAAGCGTTACGCGATAATACATTTACATTTAATTACATGCATCACTTGTATATTGTCTAGGAGTAGTACTTATATAGTAGCATGGTGGTAGAAATGCTGCTACTAGTATACACATAAATAAAATACGTCAATCGTTCGTTCTTAATGGATTGGAAAGGACTGAAATAACCTCCGACACGACGCGTCGACCTCACAGCATCACCAACAGCATCCCAAACCAAGTGGCGAAACGGAAGCAGTCCGGGTCCAAGCCGTCCTCGTAGTGATTTTTGGAGGATTGTTGTGTGCAAAGAACGTGACAACATGTCTGATCACATAGGTAGCCAGCTGAAGTTTGGTCTAAGAAATCCCAAGAAGTCGGTTGGTCAAGGGGAATGAATAAACAATCTGAAGGTTACAGCAAAGGATTCATATCTGGACTTAGCAATCTGGTGATGCCGACCTGGGGAATCTTAGGCCAAGCTTATAACCATGATACGCTGAGATTCTGCATACCTAAAATATAAAAACAAACCAGCAAGAACATTTCAAAAGGCACTTCTAGTACACCCACCTCGAAGAATCAAACAAAATACAAAATACATCAACATCAACATACACATACTGTAGTATACACAATTGCAACGTACCAATCCGCAAACATAGAAACAATTTCTAGGATACTAGTATATTATTAGGTCAATTGTCAATTGGTATGTTCTGTATTGACATGGTGTTTTAAGATATTTTCAGTGGGCCGGATCCTTCAAATCGGATCGCCCCATTCCGTCGCCGCTTCACCTCGCTCTCGCCACAGCTATCGCCACCAGGACTCGGTGTCTTCGACGTCTTCGTAGGTCACCGTCTTCGATCGCATCTTCGCAAACTCCGGCCCTGCCCGCGCACCCGGCCGCCACGCCAGGCCGATCGGTGCCGCGATCGAGCGGTCGTGCGATGGCAAACACGGTGCGATGGGCAGCCGACCGACTCGTGCGCGCGCCGAGACCCCGAGAAAGAACAACAAGTCGTGCAAAACGCCACCAGGGAGTTTCACTCCGAAGGGCGCTGAATTCGTAGAGCAAGTCTTCTTCTGAGCAGGGTTGGGCATTTCTCAAGAGCAACTATAGCTGTATTTCATCCAAAACCTGTTCCTGCGGAGTCTGGATTCTCGAAGGATCACCCAAACCTTTATGGGCATTGTGTGTGAACCTATATAAGCCATCTCTGTCAAAGCCATCTCGCCGCTTTTGCATCTGCTCCATGTCTCCCACACCCGTACCCAAATGCTGCCATCATAGTTCCGTGTCCACACTCCCAGCCTATGATCCCACTCTCGCGCTTCTGGCGTTGGGCTTCCCACCGCCGCAAGAACCGCTCGCTGGGCGTCTCCGAGACCTGTAAGGAGTCACTTCACATCCAGATCATGTCAAGCAGATTTCATGAGTTTGTCGCAAGTTTTCTGAACACTTTGAAGTCAGTCTTCATTGGTGGTCGATGGACAAATTGAACCTCAATAGATTGGACGGTGCACAAGTTCATGCTTGGATACATTCAATGCCACATGACAGCTTTCCTATGCTTTTGTAATCTCTTGCCGTCCTTGGAGACCATGGCCATGATGCTCACCAAGATTGATAGGACTACGAGGGCCCCAAGGCCAATGGTCATGTTCACGTCCTGGCCACGCGGCGACCGGACCGAATGGAGGCGACCGGACCGAATGTGTGCCTCCATGGCGCTGCTCAGTTGATCTGACAAAAATGGAACAGAGCAGACTGGCTCTGTTCCAGGCACATGTCACTTTAAACTGACAGAGTAATTAGGAACATCATCTTGCGAGATGTTCGAAGATTCCGGGCTAATATGTATATATAGACTATAGACATATGTAGACTCTTGATTCATAAACCCCACTTAGTTTGGATTGCACCCTTCATATGAAGGGGTTTTATTGACCCAGAGTCTACATTACATGTTAAGTTTCCGGGATTCAGTCTCGACAAGACTCTCTCCTGATACCAAGCACAGGCATCCAGCAAGGCAGTCTTCACCAGCACACCCCACTCAGCCACCTGACATTGGGAACTGTCCAAGCGAACATGAAACCATATGAAACCTAAGCCCGCAGTGATCCTCAGTCTACATCTGACAAACATGCAAACTCGGAAGCTGCATCTCTCTTTTCTGGGGATGCCTCATTTCATGGTTTCAGTCTCACGGCACCCAGCAACGGGGCCACAGCGCCGGCCTCAGCCAGGCCCTTCACCTTCGACATGCTGCTTGCAGCTGGTTGCAGCTCAAGCGAAATTGCAGAAGCAAGATCAGTTGAGCTGGCAAATGCTGAGTTAGAATGGATGACAAATACCAAGTCTTCTGAAGTCCTCTGCACTTCAGGACTGACTTCATAGTGACACTGCACTTCAGGACCGACTTCATGGTGACCAGGGGATAAAGAAAAACAACTGCAAGAACCAGGCTGAACCAGGTATGCGCAGGTATGTCGGGTATCTGTGAAGGTTGTCGACTACAGCCAATTCACGTCAAGCGTCATTCCAGCTCTCTCTGACAGAGCGTTACAGGGCCATTTGTTCTCCAACCATAGGACGGGCCACGCTCGAATCATCTCGAATCTCGGTATAACACACATTTAAATCTCTATCTGCTCAGATATGCTCAAATGGGTTTGTCTCAAAAGTTTTGCAAACTCCTGGCTCACCGTGCCAACTCTTCATCTCAAGCATTGGTTGCCGAGTTCGCCACTCACCTTGCGCATCCATTTTCTTCTGACTCTCATGACTGCCGCACTGGCAATGCTATATACAGGATTGCCTTCCCCAGTTTCACTGGGTGGAAAACGCCCTGATGAACTAATCGTCCAGTGGATCCAGGTCCCAGATACCCGGTGGAGGGATGGATCCAGTCTCTCCAGTCTCTTCACATGATCAATCCGCAGAATCCATGCAGGATCCAGAAAAAGGATGCGACCAATCTATGTCTGGATCCCATGTTCTTCGAAAGAAAACGACCGCCCTCTCGGCGGCGGGTTTGGGAGGCGCAAAATCGGTGCTTCGGCGGTGCGACCCGCTGCGGTCGTCCGTCTGCGTCTCAGTCTGGGAAGTTCGGTCCACGAACTGCAGGAAGTGGGATATATGAGGCTAATAAACAATAAACTACGAGGAACAAGTGCATCGCTTCTAGTAACAAGTGCCTTACTATAGTAGTAACAAGAAGCTACTAGGAATAACTCGGCCGGACTCGGCCAGACTCGGCCAGTCTCCTGGCTCCGGAGACGACCTTGGAAGACGGCTGGGACTGGGGGTGGGGGCCAGTCGGGTCCAGTACCTTCGTTGAGGTTCGGTACGACTGGAGCCCGTCTGGGGGGTTCGTTCAAACTCTGTATATTCCCAGACGCTCCATGTATGCCATATATCATATATGCCTACATTGGGGTGGTTTCGTGGGTCAAGGTAGGCATACATGGCATGCATGGAGTGTCTAGGATTCTCTGAAGGCGATGTCTTCTACTCACCCCTTGGCTCGAGTCCTTGGCTCCCAACCTTGCGGAAGAAGTGGCACAAACCGACCGATCGTCGAGGAAGGTCGAGTCGGGAAGTCGACAAAGGGGAAGTCGTGAACGCGACGAGAAGGTTCAGTGTCCACAGACAAAGAACCGAAAGAAGCTCTTAGGATCCAAATGAAGGTCTTCCTATTTTCGCTCCCAACAGTCCTCTCTCATGTTCAGGAGGGCAAACATCCGTAGAAACCCAAATGCATCATGTAGGTAGATACGCTGTGAAATGCTTAAAAACAGCACAAAACGCGCATGCTGGAAGACCTGGTCCCATCTGAATGGAGATTCCAGTTCGGTCAAGAACCTCACAAAATGCCTGCAGTATGAGGCCATCCACAACACAAATGGAACCCGAGACCAAAACCTATATACACACTATACGCACCTAGGCTCTGGGTACAAACATTCCATCAAATCATACGCCAGTGCGTGGTCCGAAGATCAATTACTTATAGATCAATCCGGACCACGCAAGCCTACCACCCGGAGGGGTCTTTCGTTATGTAACATAGTGTCTCTCTCTATATATATATATAGAGACCCTGCTAAACTACTTGGTCATCATGATAATCATTTATATATATATATAGAGAGAGAGCTGCTGGTCATTCTTCAGATTGCAGCTACATGATTGCAGCAGCACTGGTGAGCCGACTGGTGAGTCTTCAGCAGCACTGGGTCAGGGTTCTACCTCCTCCCACAAGCACTTGATAGTCCTCTAGCCGAAGCTAGGCCTTCTTTACAAAGGAGGTGTCATGAGTTGCCGAAAGGCATTGCAAAAAGGATGTGTCAGTGGGACGTAACCACTAGGACAACTTGAACTGTCTTGAATATTGATGCAAATACAAGTACATAGCCCTGATTCTCAGGCAGTTTTGGGTCAGGTGCCAGCGTATAGCATAGGAGTTGTTTGCTGCATTAGGCTGCCAATGGAGAGTGTGAGTAACTGCTCCACCCTGAAGTCTGAGGTTGGCAGCTCGTGTTCTTGACCACTGGAATTACAAAACTGAACCTCTGGATGGAAGACTGCATCAGCCACATGTCGGCGATTTGTTTACCGTCACTGGTGCCGTTAAACCTCAACAGCTAAAGCTTGAAGGAATATTGATATTGTATCCTTTCACCATTACAAGTCTTTGGTGCGGAGAATCAATCACGGCCTTTGTCTGTGCAGCGAGCTGCAACTATTTGCAGGAGCTATGCAGCTATGACATGTTCAACATGCAGCTGCAATCCAAGCTTGGTGATTAGCTACGTAAATCTCAGATTTGTGTTTTAACATGTCTTAACAATAGTGTCAAAGCATGTCAAAACTAAATTGTTGTGATGATGATTCCACAATGAATTGCGTTGGAGGGTGCAGCCAGCTGGTAGCTTCTCTGATTTCTTTCAGTATTGCACCTACCACAGACTTGAAGGTTTCCTGACTAACGAACCTATATCTTCCATGCCTATTTCCGAGAAAATCACGTGACAAACTCGTCAATTGGTCATAATTGGTCCGACGCGGCGTGGCGGAACCGCCTTCGCAGTCTTCCCTCTTCAACAGAAGAGATCCCGGTTCGCTCGGTCAATCAATTTCGCTCGGTTCGACCGCGGGAAGTCCTGAAGGGAGCGTCCCGAAGGGAGCCGGCAACTAATTGGCATTGTTTCAAAGATCCTCTTAGAGGAGAGCAAACGCAAGGCTCTTTCACATGCTGCTTTGCAACAAAGAGGAAATGGGCTGCAATGAAGATACCCAGCTGGCCGGAATCACCGGCATTTTTGTCCTCACCTTTTTTGGGGAATAACTCCTTATCGAACAATGTGTGAAAACTCCGGAAAACTGGTAGAGGCTGATCGTCTGGCAATTGCTGCTAACTTTGTGGGTGATCGAACAAGATGCTGTTTCTGATTCTGGGTTCTTTTTTAAACGAGAAGAAGCTGGATCCCACCGCCTCTTCAAATGCTTCTGAGTAGTTGTCTTGTGCGTCCAGAGTCCAAAGTCAAGAATTTTGTTTTTTTTTTCCATTCTATGTTTAATATATATGTTTGTTACATAGGTTCGAGTTGTTACATGTTGCCACATTAAACCATGTTGGCGTGCCTTGCCCTGCGAATCTCGTGAAACCGCCCCTCATCTCGCCACCTGGCCACGCCACTTGAAGACCAAATACACGGAGACTGTGGGAGACTTGACAACAACTTGCTAACAACGAAACATAACAAAACAACCAACCTTGCAGTCTGAAATACCTTTTGGGAGTGCTAAAACAACAAAACAAAACAGTGGGTTCAGTACACAGTGGGTTCACAACATCCCTCGTAGGGATCCCTTACCATCCGCCATTGTGGTCAGTGGCTGATTTCAGCACTCCCTTAGCTATTCTTGTTCTCTCCCGCGTGATCCCTGGTGAGTGGTTGTCCACCCTTGGCTTGCTGCGTGGTCAAAACAAGGCGCTTTCCGACCAGGTATAGGCAAAACCCGCCACCGGTATCCAGCTTTGCCCCGTCCCCATGTAATTGAACCCGCCCCCATTTGGATTGGTCTTGACCTCTTCCATGTGTTTTTGTTTATATCAAGAGTCAGAGTCATCAAGAGAGTCTACATGCATGGGGAAGATTAACATGGAACCTGGTTTGACCACGTCGGAACATGGTCTGTCAAACAACCAGTCGATAGTCCGGTCTCCACCACACGCTGCTCGGCTGCGCTTGGACATGAACGGACGAAGCCCAGCGCGGGGTTCGCTGGACCGGGATGAAGGACCGAATGATCGGCACATGAGTTGATTCGAATGCCCATTTGCTCTTGACAGAAACTTTGAAGGGCTCAGTCGCGCTATGCAGCATCCGAACATTCCAATGAATCAGGTCGATTTGTGTCCCGAAGTTTTGCAGGACTCCCCGAGTGGCCTTGCGTTAGTGGGAAAAGGTGGCAATGACAATCTGCCTCCGCAAAGCGTTTTTCACTTTCAAGTGGAACGGAGTGTAAGTATCCTGCCTGAAAAGACTCTTGGGCCGAATCCCCAGCTTTAGCTATAGGTGGATAATAAAAACATGCAGTTTATTGAGTCGAGGGTTGCAGCAGTTACTCAGAGAGATTGCTTGCACTGGTACACGAATGCAAGTGTGTGTGTGTGTGTGTCCAACCAAAAAACAGGCCATGTACGCCATCCTCGGAAGGCTCTTTTCCCCGCATCGGATTGACATCGCTGGGCTGATTTCACCAAGACCCAACATGGCCATGCTTGAGCAAGAACTGACCAAAAATGCTACTGTCTACTTGCACACAGGAGAGTCCTTGAGTCGTGGCCTCCAAAACACAGCGTGACAACACAACATGCTACATGGTGTGTGGATTCCATGTGTGGATTCCGTGCTAAATAAAGCTATTGCTATGTTGCAGGCCATTGCTATTAGGGGGAGGCCCTACAAACATGCTTCTTCTAAAGCCGTGACATTTGCAGGTGTTCAAAAGACGACCAAATCCCGCGCCGCCGACCCTGTGGAGCACAACCGCGAGCACCATGAGGGTTTGACGATAGTAGTGGGCATCCCTTTTAAGGTAAATACGATTGGGCACCCCTTGGGGTTTGAGGTTTATGATGGTGTATGGCAACCCCCTTTGGCGCACGTGTTGATCTTGGGAAAAAAGAAACAAACACCTAACACCTCCATTCACTCTCTCACTCTCACCCGTACAACAACATGAGTGAAGACCCGATATGTTAGTATATGTTAGTCACGGTTCGTTGGTCCTTGTGGCCCAGGCGTTCTTTTGCTGTCCAT